TTTATGCAATAGCATGAATAGCTCTGTACATGGTTTCTTCTCATTTTGTTTCAGATGAAGTAGTTTTATTTGCAGATTTTTCTCTTTCTTTTTGTTAGGGGACCAGAAAGGGGTTGAGGGGTGGGGGCGTCTGTTGACATTCTTGCACTGTATGCTTTGTGCTCGACCAGGCCTTGGCTCAGCTCCATATCCCCTCTCTACCCACTCTCACTTCTTTGACTCCTACCCCCTCCTCCTGCTGAACCAGCCCCCTCCGAGCCCTTTCAACTCTCCTTGATTGCTCCCCCCCATACACCACTCTTGCCAGCAACTCTTCAACACGGCCCCCACCCTCGCTCCTTTTCCTATCACCTTCCCTAATCCGTACTCATGTATCGCCCTGAACTCGCTGCGGCCCACCCTCTCCCATCCCCTCTTCCGCCCCAGCTTGTGGCAGCAGGTCCGGCCTCTGTGACACAGATGCAAGCGGTTGCTGTGGGCACTCAACACGGGAACAAAGCATTGGCGGGGGCCCTTCTGTTGCGCTGGGTTTGTGCCGTTTCTGTGCATAAGTACATTCACATGAGAGCTAGAGATAAGAGGGGAAGCAGAGACGGTAGAGTGCAGCCAGTTACTAAAGTCTGGTTTCAAGAGGTTGTTTAAGCAGTACTTTTATTTTGGCAAAAGTGTGTTTCATTTCTCTTACATGGGGACATCCTAAAGCAGGATCATGCTTGCATGAACAAACAGTGATGTTCACCACCCATTGCACAAGCTCTTTTCATCTGGTTATTTGCTTAAATAAACTCTTTTCTGTGTAATTCTGGTATAAACTAGCTTTTTTGGTCTGACAATGGGAGTGAACTAATCAGTGAGCAGCCAAAACTCATACTTTATGATAATAAAGCCAATAGGTGTGCACACTTGTATTCATCCTATTCTAGTGTCAGCTATATTGTTAGAGTCAGAGATATGCAGCCCTGCATGTCAGGTGATGATAACACACCAGCTCATCCACTGGCTGTTTAAATCAACAGAAGAATACAAAACACCTCAGTAGCTCCTGTTGGATCACAGGTGTGCACTACACATACAACCTTCTATTATGGATCCAGTCACGTTATCCACATAGATCTCTAGAGACCATAGGATGGGTGCACTTTCAGATTATGCAGCTGGGATAGCAGAATCAAAGGGTTGTGAATAAACCCACAGAATTCACCAGAACTGCATGCACGGGATAAGCATTGAGGGTTTCCCCAAAATCTAGCTGAATAGAAGCAAACATCTTTTTTCTCCTCCTATACTATGACCGTTTCTTAGTATAGAAACTGAATTACACTGAATTACATTTTGCTGATTGATATACTTACATTAGACGTACGCTGGTCGATCATCTGATCACTGCAGACTGTCCTAATGCATTTTTTAGCACACTTTTTAGCAGTCCCTTACGGTTAAGGGATTGCTACCACACGAGGAATATGAGGAGCATATTACAGGTGGACAGACAACAATTACCAATTGTATGTCAGAACCTTTTTGCTGACCTTGAGGAGTACAGGACATGCATATCGTGGAAAGAAGTGGTGCTCTTGAAAAGGCTGGGGATCTTTCACCAGACATTTTCCCGTGGCTTCCTTAAAACATCAACCAACAATGGTTGATGTTTTCTTATGCTGCTGGTGATTTGGATCTTGGCAAATCACTGTTGATTTATTTTATTGTGGTTCCTGTTCATTCTGGGTAGACCAAGCTAACAGAAACCTTATAATCCTGACTTATACAAAGCGCTTTGCTTAAAATTCTTTAGTGGTGTTTCAGCTGCCGTCTGTCTCCTTGACAGACATTTCTGTGGGCAGCATAGCAGGTAGAGGAGGTCACATGACACAGATAGTCAGAGAGCAATATCAGCATCCAACACAATAGTGTTGTCTCTAAAGGCAAAATTTATCTGGATTGTGAAATAAAAACCACCGGATTTAAAAATACCTTCAAAGTTGCGGACATAAAAATGATACAATCATTATTTCTACCCGTGACTTCCAATACTACTGACCTAAAAATTCCTTGATCGTCCCAGCCTAATTCAAGGCATCAGCCTGCAATGTCACTAACCTTAGCAGAAAGACTTAAAAAACCTCCTTGCGTGGAGCAATTTTGCAGCTGACATCGCCGCTGAGCCTCACCTGCTACCTTTAACTTCATTTTTTTCCCTCTAAACTATATTTGAGGGGAGAGCAAGGTTTGCTGGAGGGAGAAATGAGATGCCTCAACACTTCACTGCCCTTCTCTCTCCACCGACTTCCCCCACACACACCTGGGATGGCCATTTCATTTTGGAGTGGAGCAAATGGAAAGGTGATCTTAATCTACCCTGTTTCCTGCTGCCTTCCCTCCCACCCCCAACACTATCTCCCACCCACAGCGCTTCACGTCGCTGATGGACAACTCACTGATGGTTGCCTGAGCCTGCCACTAGCACACACAGAAAAATGTGATATATAACACTGGACATGCACTGGTTTGTCATCCTGTATGTAGAAATTGTATCCACTTCAGTCTTTTTTCTATTTCAGTCTATGTGATTCGGGATTCTCTGAAGGCAGAAATGATTCTTTTACAAGAGCAAAAGTTGTTGATTTCAAGATATTCGGGCCTCCTCTGTTACCTCGTTACGCAGTGTTGGGTTTCTCTTTACTGCTGTTAGCTCTTTGCAGTCACAAGCAGAGCTATGCAACTGCCATTGATTTCCTATGAATGGCCCTCTGCAGGCCAGTTCATTAGGAAGGTGCTTCAACGCCACTGGATTAACTGGACTTCCATGCGCTAATGGAAAACATGTTGCTTTCAGGAAATGAGCATTGGTGATTTGACAAAATAGGTTGAACATACAGCGCTAACATGAAAGCAAAAACTTTTTTTCTGCTCCTGAAAATAAGTTTTGTGAAGTTTCCCTTATAGAAAACCCCCCAAAACAAAACAATGCATGTTCTTTTAAAAGTGAGAAACACTTTTAATCGAAGAAAAACAAATCGCACTTTCCGCCTGCCTGAACACACACCCCCTTTTTATTTTCTCCTCAACACATGGCTTAAGGCTGGACTCAGGCTGCTGCTCCACCCGCCAACTGTTACTATGGCAACGCTATCTGGGCCTACCAAGACCTGAAGCCGAAGGACATCCTGGACAACAACACAATAGCGGCACAGCCAGGGTACCTGAGGGAGTTAGATGTGAGAGGCCAGCTCTGGTGGGGGTTTGAAGGGGCGGGGGGAGGAAGGTGCTGCAGATTGAGGGAGTAAATCCGCCCTCTTTCTCTACCTCCCCTCACGCACAAACGGTCAGGATTAGCCTCCAGCTTGAAAATCTGGGAAGAAAAGGAACAAACTGTGGCTCTTGATTATTTTTTTTTTTTTTTTGCTGCAACTGTTCTTTGGGATGTCTTTGATGGCAAGAAATGACTTTAAAAATGTGAAAGAACACCAGAAATTTCAAAAATGTGAGATGTTAGGTTATAAGAGGTGCTGTCCGGCAGATGAAGAAGATGCTTTAATTCTGCAGGGAGTGAGAAGATGGGCAGAGGAAGATAGATGGGGCTAAGTCTGTCGCAATAAGTAATGTGTCAGTTCACTGCATGATAAATTAAAGTAAATTCAATAATTTCCATTTGCGTGATTGTTTGTTGTTCTTGTGTCTCTTTCTGTCATAGACTGGATGACAAAGGGCTTCAGTCTGATGCATTGATCTCTACTAGCCCCTTTTTTGAAAGGCAATTTTGTTTACTTCAGTATCCATTTTTATTTATTGTGTCTGGTGTTTTGTTGATTTATTTTGGGTGTTTAAAATGTCCTCCTGTTTTAGTGTTAAATTGTTGGTTAAAAATTTGTTTTGACTTAGTTTTTAACAGGATGTACTTTTGTAGTTTTATGCCATTACCATTATATTACTTGATAATGGGTCTCCAAGCACCATTATTGTTTATCGCAATAACTTATGAGAAAATTTATCCAAAAATTGTTATCGTGACAGGCTTAGATGGAGCTAAGTTCCAAACCCCTCAGACACAATTAATCAGTGTTCAGTCTGAGACACCGTCGAGCGGAGAGTTAGAGTCTGAGAATGCTTGAAAGCATTTATCACTTTCCTTCCACTTCACCATTCTGCAGTCATTTGTGTTGGACTTCTACTTGAAATCTCAAGAAAACGGCAGAAGTTTGCCGTACGAAAATCTCCAATGCAACGTGCCACATGCAAACAGCTTAAATAGTCTATCACGAGTTTTACATTCGTGATCGCCGTGATCTCGTTTGCTGCTTACTCCAAAGGACGAGACGCAAACTCTGTCTGGTGGTGCCAGCAGCAGAGAGTGATAGAGATGTTTAGAGTCTATTTGTCTTTCTTGCATTCCTCCGTGTAGCGCTGCTAAAATAATAAGAGGGAGGGTTACCTCAGGTCGGCTCCAGCTGAGGGGATACGGCGCATGCATTGTTGTCATTGGCTCCATCTGAGTATCCCTCTTAAAGCCGCAGCGTGGAACTGTGGAGGCGGGTTGGGCTGCCTGCTTTAAATAACGTGACTAGGCAGAAGGGATGTGCAAATATTGTGATTGTGTGTATTATGCTTATGAGTTTTACAAAGGAAAGTTTTTATTGTATGTAGCCATTATGTTCTTTATCTTAATGGACTCTGATTCTGTTGTTTTTTAGATGATGTCAGTGCATCAGGTTGTATTCCAAAAATGTCTTGAGAGGTTTGTAATCAGTGTTATTGCATAAGCCTCACACCAGCAAACAAGGACATTGAGAATGTCCCGCTGCGTACGTACCGGCTTTCCACAGTTTGTACTCATCTTTGGTGTAATGACTTTCAACCCGAATTCATTCCTATTTAAAAACATGCCCATTTCCCATTGGGTGCAGACACTACATTGTAGATGTCCATGTGTGAATAACTGAGTGTGGGACCTGCTTAGTCACGCCAAAACACCCGTCTTACACCTCCTCTGTGTTCCTTCACAGGCAGCCTAAGAAACAGGATGTTAATGCTTGACGGAATGCCTGCAGTCCGAGTCAAAGCCGAGCCCCTGGAATCGGAACAAGGGGTAAGAGAGCAGTTATTTTCCAGACAATTCCTCTTTTTCTCTTTTTTTCCTTCTTCTTGTTCTTCTTCTTCTTCTCTGCTTTCCTTTTCTTCTCTTCCTCCTCCTGGCAGTGGGCTGATAATCACTCCCAGGCCTGAGCTAGTGAGTTTGGGGGCTACGAGGAGTGGTTGGGGAGCATGGTGGTAGGCAGAGGGAAGAGAGACGAACCATGGGGAGAGGAGGAGAGCCACAGCTGGAGCAGGAATGCAGTGGGGTCTTTTTGGGAGTCCATGCAAGCAGGGGGGGGATCAGTGCACAGATGTAGTCACTGCTCTGGGGAGGAGGGTTAGCATGGGAAACTCTAAATCTTATCTGGCTTTGTTTGTTCCTGTAGCTTTACGTTGTTCAGTTTCCCTTCATTCCTCTATTGCCAGGCCCTCTTACAAACACATGAATAATATTTGTTTCTTACATGGAATTGCACACAAACCTTACATGTTCTACTTCTTTTTAAAAAAAAAATGTTTAGATATTTATTTGCAGTTGGAGTTGGACATATATTACTTAAAGAAATCTATCTCTCTATCGGCGTTATTATCACCCAATACAAATTTGTGAGAGATGGTTCCTTTCACTACAAGCCTTCCAAGAGATGATGGTGATGAAGTTTGTGAATATTCTACACCTCTATAATCCTTAAATGTCAAACTTCACAATTTTAAGCAAGATCTATGCATATATAGCAAAATACTTCAGTAACACAAAACTGACGGCCTGAAGAAGGCTTTTTCCATTTCCATCTCCCTTATGCACAATTTACTCCGCCTAAATGTTTCCTGTAACTGTTGATCAGTCCTGGGTATCAGCTTGAAAGAATTTGAGCTCATTCATCCATGCAAGACCCCCTTCCAGTCATAACACTGTGTTGCTCACATCAACTTACTCTCCAGCATTTCTGTGGGATTAAGTTTGGGTATCCTGACTGGTAATTTCAAAACATTAATGATATTTGTGTTTGGGTCAATGGCTGCGTTTCCTTTGACCGTAAAATTGTGCAAGTTGTAATTACAAAAATAAATAATTAATAGAAGTAAGGTGATTTTTAAAAATACCCAAATTTTTCCATTAGGATGAGGTAGTTTTTCAGCTGTATTGAATTTAGTGTATCACACAAAACTGCAATTTCAACACTTTTTTGCATCATGAGTCATGTGATTAACAACCAGAAATTACTACTGGCGGAAAAACTAAAGAAGACAACAGGAAGTTGAATAAGGAGAATGTTCAGAGGCATGCTTTTTACTGACATATTGTGTGAACAAGCTTATTCACATGTGATTTTAATGGTGTTTATTATTTAATGGACACACAGCAATTTGACTTTAGTGGAATATCAACAAAGTTTTGCGTACATTCGTAATGGAAACACAGATGTTGTCTTGCTGTATTACAAACTTCTTAACTAGATTCAGATAGTGGAGTTTTGCTCTACCAAAACTTTCTGGAGAATATGCAGCAAATCAAATGCCAACCACAATAACAACCATGTACTTTTGCAAAATTAACATGTCTTAAACAATAAAAGTTTTATTAGGTACTCATCTGTCCAGAAAATTCTTCCAGCATTGCCTGGGAGTTCTTGTCTGATTTTCCAAAAACTACAAATGGACAACAATGGTGTTTTCTAGAAAACTTTGTATCCTTCTGCCCTGCCACGGATACATATGAAAAAGATAATTAAGTTTTTTTTTTTTAAATGACGTTATGTTATGTAATCTACAACCTTGGCATTTTAATTTTTTTTAGATCTAGATTCGTTGGATTTGGAAGCTGACCCAAAAAGGTTGTCTGACACCAGGACCAAAACAGATTCCCTGAACCTTTTCTCTGCCATCATAGTTACATTGGGTGGTTATTAATAAAAAACATTACAATTATTTAAACAGGAAATTAAGGTAGGAGGAATGACACCACTAGTAATCTTCCAATGAACATTCAATGGGGAAAGAAAATGTAAAGCATATCCAGTGAAAGTAGATGTCTGATATAGGGATATAGATGTAAACGATATAGTACTTTAAGTAATTTTAAAGCACGTTTCGGTATGTATTTCTGACTGGTGTCACACCACCTCCTATCTTTAGTTCCTGTGCAAGTAACCTTCTTAAAACTCTGGATTTTCACTGGTTTAAGACATCTAGTAAGTTATCTACTGGTAATGGTAACTCCTTAAAATGTTTCTACCAAAAAATATTATGAGCTTGAGTGTTCTCTCCATGTTGGTACTAACATTTAATGTTAGCTGCTAGTGATGCCAAGACATTCATAGATTCCCCCACTCTCTCAACAAAACCAATTTGATATCTTACTAATAGAAAGTTTATATTGAAATGGCCATCTAAATCATTCCAAATACTTACTTTGCCAACATTTTGTCCGCTTTTTTTCTCATAAAATAGCAATGACAGACGTGTGACCCCCAACTATCACTGGTTCAAGGATAGAAACATGATACTAAGCTAATTAAGTGGGGAAACAATGACAAAACTAACAGACTCCACAACCACAACCATCTATCTAGTTTTAGCCACTTAGGGTTTCTCTTTTTATCTCTTGTAATAATTATGACAAAATATGCTCTTAGCAACAATAAGTGTCTGAAGATCCATATGGGCAGGGGGAAGAGAGACGAACCATGGGGAGAGGAGGAGAGTTCCCCTAATTTAGGACTGCTGCAATGTACATATTGTGTTATTTCTCAGCATATACTGCCTTTAGCTTTGCTTTTATGGCTCATATACTGTACAGTTTCCATGCTCTCTGCTCTGACATACCTAGAAATGAAGTGGTCTTGTTATTGTGAAGCTGTTGCTTAGTAACCAGGCCTGTGTGGCTGTGTGTTGCTGCCACAGCTGTGTTCAGTGGGTGCAGACCACTTAATATTTCTAATCGTGATAAATTAGTGTTCAGACTTGATCGATTTACCTTCATAAAATATCAATCTAGAGATAGAGGCTACTGCCTGTCTCCAGGAGTCTTTGGGTGACAGGCGGGGTACACTCTGGACAGGTTGCCAGTCCATCACAGGGTATATAAATGATATTTTTACTCTTGATTTATAACCAACAGATTTCTATGGAAGAACATTGTAGCAATAGACGAATGCCGTCTTCTGATAAACCCTCGGGATATCGCGGATTTGGAGGAAAATTGTTTGGCTATAGGAGTCCCTATTGTTGATAAGAAATTCATCTGCCTCCCCACATCTGAGAAGTTGAGAAAAGGGTGCAGCAGGTGGTTGCTTTCCTGGGTGTCCTGCTGTCAGCTGTGGCTCAAGGCTTTGAGAGCTGTGCTCCCGCATTGGTACCTAATACCTGGGGTTTGAAGTCATTCTCCTTGTAGTGATGTCAGTCACAGACAGGATGTGAGCGCCGCAGCCCACACAGCTTTGAAGTGCTCCGAGATCCAATCTCGCCCTAACAGACTGAGCTTCCCCTTTAGATGGCAGACACAGACAGTTCAGACTGCTGCAAAAATGTGGTCTTCATTTGAGTGGCACGGGGCCAAGCCTTTGCTGGAAATGGTCTGCCTCGTTAGATGATTCGCCTGCAAGGGGCTGGAAAATCTGCCTGGCTAACCGGTATCCCCTAATAAAGACAATGCGTGAGGACAGAGGCAGACTTGCAGCTCGGGCATATCTTTACGTGTGTGTCAGCGTGTGTGCAGGGCCGAGCTTTGCACTTGTGTGTTTTGCATCTGTCAAATCGAGACTGGAGGTGGCTTCAGTTTTTCCATTTCTGTCGGTTAAGAGTTGTTTGTGAACCAAGCTCAAAAAGCACCAATTTTTGGTTTGTGTAACACAGCATTGCTATTGTTTACATACCCTATATAAGTGACATGGAAAATGCTCTCAGTACTCGCTGTTGTTCGGTCTTTCATAACAACAGAAGTTACTCTAAACCTCGAGAATAAGTAGTGAACGAAATAAATAAACAGCCAGACTTTGTTAGTCACGGTAGAGCCCCATTGGGAAGCAGGGTGGACACTTTTTCAGAGAACCCAGTTGAATTTTAACTTGCATGTTATTTGCTTGATTTCACTTACACAGAGTTACGGTTCCATTGATTTTTTTTTTTTCACTGCTTCACTTTATATAAGGCAAACTCAGCCTTGCCCAATATGTCCATTTATGGTCCTTAACCAGGAATGTTTTTTTTTGTTCTCATTTTAGTTCATGATTAACAAATACAGCCTACTGTCTTTCACTATTTTATCTTGGTGAAGCAGCTGTTTAAGATTCACCGCCTGGGTAGATTACCTTGGAAATTTGTTGGAGTTGGTCCTGTCAATTTGTATTTGTATTGTAAAACAAACAACGTAATCCCAAAAACACAACATTAATACCATAATGTTATTAATGGCAAACTGATTTCAGTTGTAGTTTCTGGTAGGAAGGAAGTGAACAAAAGTGGGGATGCACTGATCACAGATCTGTGACTAATTTGTGATTTGTGGTTTTATCTGGCTCTAGCTTTTTTAAGAGCTATGATCTAAGAACTTGTGGGAGTAGCATTCAAGGGGTTATTTTTCCAATTTTCCTGTTGTTTATTATTTTACAAGCAGAGACAATGTGTGTGAGAGACAAGCCTTTATAAAAGGCTTTTTTAGACTTTTCTAAGAACTGTTAGTATAGCTAGCATTACTAAAACAACAACCTTTATTTATGTTCCCAAGGTTATGCAGACCTATACCCTAATTAGTTCTGGGTAAATATACACCCAGAACTAAAGTGTTAAAAATCAAAGCACCATTTCCAAATCTAACGTGTTTCCTGACAGGTAGACAGGATAAAGCTAAGCAACTTTGTTTTCTTACATTCAGCCTTCCTGTTATCTGCTAAATGTTTTGGTCTCTCTTACAGCCTTATTGAAGTATTGTTACCTCTGACTTAATTTAAAGAAACCTCCACACTGCTGGAAATAGCCAACTTTGAGTTCTTTTTAGTCAGTAGTGGTGTCCGTAATGAGGAGTCTTGCTGTCAGGGCTCCCTGTCAGCGGCCAAATAATGTGTTAATTGACTGGGAAAAGATAATCCTGTTTAGAATTTTGGCTGACCAGCTGTTCAACAGTTAAAGCCAGTCAAGGTGGTTAACTGTCTGATTCAAGTCGTTAACCAATTTGAAACTAAAGCATTGAAATAAATTGTCTCTGCAGAAACTTGGTGCTACCAAGATGGCGCCAATGCAGCATTTCTATAGTAATGCCATTTGCAGATTTTCTTTGCCACCTTACCATCGTCATCACTGTATGTGGATGGCCAGAACAACCTGGGTCCTCATTCAGACTGTTTGCCACAGTTTTAATTGTTTTAAATTGTGTTATTATTTCTCTGACAGTAGATACAAAGCGGCTTACTGATTTGCTTATAGTCATATCCTTACTTATGAAGATCATCTGCTTTATGTGAAGAGCATGTTCTCTGAATATCTTCAGTGGCTGAAAGATATGGAGCCCTGTTTCATGTTATACTTGGAACTTGGAGAAGCAGGGAATCAGTGATGACCGAAAGGAAATTGAAAATGGCACAAACTGAATAAAATCCTTTAGTCTATTTATCTTATTTGAATATTGTTTTTGGTGTCAGTGTTTGGATAAACAGTTATTTCTTAAAGTTGCATTTTTCTCTCAATTAGATAACTGCACTCAAATTACAGACTGTATTTTTCAAAGTTTTTGCATGTGAGATTAATGATTCTGTGAAATTCTAGTGAGGACTGTAATTTTTCCGCAGTACAGTGAAAATGTTGATATAATGTTGCAATAACTTCCTATAAATTAGTAGATATTTCAAAACAGCCCGATAGTCATGTGACACATGCACAGTATTCACTCGCAGAGAGTATGCGAGTGAATACTCGCGTAATATTCATTACAGTTTTTCTAAAGTAAGCATGAAGAAAGTTCATTTGTAGAGTGACCTACAGCAAGTGGGTCTGTAAGGCTGCCAACTGTCTCTCATTATATTCCTGTGTGACTGAACCAATAACTCAAAGCCCTTTTTCCTTTTGTTTTTATTTATTTTAGTGGCCTCAGTTACACAAATTGCTTGTGTAAGAACTGCCCGGAGTTTTAGATGATTTCCAAAGCGTAATTGTAGCAGCTGTGCTGTTGCTGTAATTTTTCCATCCTGAGCACTTACAAATTTGTCCTATTGAAATTTAGGCTTGTATCTGAAGTTGACCTAATTATTAGGAGTGCCTTATTAAAAGGGGTTTTGTTTTCTCACTCAAATCTTCATTGATGTTTTGTTTTTCTGAGGGCGACCTCTCAAAGGAAGAATCTGCTCCACCCATTATAACTTAATAACTATTGGCTATAAATGGTCAACTCCTTTGGAGGAGCCTCTGACTGAACTGCACTGCTAAGAGAAAAGTTCTGCATAGGAGAAGAAGAGCGATACTGTCTGATTTTAAGTTTTACATTGTTTATGTTGTGCTTCTTGCAGAATAGCCCAACATAAAGTCAAGTAAGTATGGTTCCATTTAGAAGTGCATTGTGGGTGGTAAATATGAACCAGACCGTCGTGTACTCTGAATCTCGACCTGACAGCAGTGGCCCTGAGCTGAACCCCATAAAGGTCCTGAGGCTATCGGAGGGCAGATTTCAGAGGGCACCATTTGTTTTACAACTTGGGACAAGTTATGCAGCAAGAAGCTCCAGCAATTCAGTCATGCTGAAATATAAAAATCTCCACAACTAGTGCAGATCCTTGCAAAAGTATTCACACCTCTTAAACTTTTTCACATTTTGTTACATTAAAATCACACACTTCAATGTATTTTATTGGGATTTTATGTCAGGTTAACAAAACTGCTACATAACTAGTAGCAAGTGGTGTTTTTCATAGAAAAGGAAGCAAAGGATGCACAATTGTTATCATTTGTTGACAACTGGGTAGATTTTCCTCAGGTGTCACAATGCACTCTACCCAAATCTACCCAAATACAGCTGCCCACTTAAAATGAAAGTCTGAACCAAGACAGATAGCATTGATGAGGGAAATAACCTTAAATATACACCCAGAACTAAAGTGTTTAAAAATCAAAGCACATTCAATCCAGGACCCAACTCATAGTAAGAACATCATATGTAATGTGTATTGCAAAGTTGACGACTGTATGATGTTTTATGATATGAAGCACTTTGAACTGCCTTGTTGACTTGGACTCAAAAACTGCTGCAGAACACTGAGCTTGATTTGTTGACATAACAACAATTGGCAAAGAATTTAATATCTTGATGTACAATAGCAGTGTAGACTTTCCCCAAAACACTTCTGTTGTAAACCACCCTTATTAGATGTTAATTTGTAAAAAGAAAAAAAAAATCTTAAAGATGCTTTTTTTTCTTCTGGTATCATATAGAATCCCTATAAAATACATTGAAGTTTGTGATTTTAACATGGTAAAATTATGAAAAATGTCAATCGTTGTCCAATAGAGTAATGCATAAAAAATGCAGACACATCCAGCAACGCTATCAAAAGGATGTGTAATTCACCACAAGATTAAGTCATAACATTATCTACAAAGAAAGAAGCGTGAGTCTAAAAAAGAAAGAACGGGCTCACAATACTCAAGGCGAAGATTATGCTGCTTTGATAATTTTAAAAAGTTTTTAGTTTAAGATGCCACATAGCTTCTATATCGAACAATGTGACTCAAGACTATTAGTCACATCAGACTTAGAGGAAATTAATACGTTTCCTCACCAAAGCTGTGATGCAAAAGGAGGGGCTAAAACGTCTGGAATTTTATAGGAACAAATAAAAACACAGTGGGCATTGCACTTGGATTAAAACCGTTCCATGAAGCGGCCGTGTCCCAATCTGCTCGGAGTTAAATCAAAGATGTGCTGATGGCTCCTTCGAGGCACCAGCCTCGGCCTTTGGAGGCCCTTCGCCTGAGAGACACAGAGAGACGGTCAGGAAATTGAGCCCATATGATGTTTTTCCACAGTCGAAAAGGGGAGATTTAGGAGAGATACGTGGGTAGCCAAGAGAGCTGCATTTGAGTGGGAGTCATGGAAAACAGGAGGAAGAGGGAGAGAGCTCGGCCCACGCCAAGAGAAAAGAAAGACTAGAGGAGGCGAGCGTGAGCGACACTATCTTTGCTCTTGCATTTTATCTTGCTTGAGTTAATGCTGCTCCTTTATATATAAATGTCACCGCATATCCCTCTTCTGACATCGCTAACATGCTAAGTAATTATTTCTGGAGAGGGAATATCGGCAGAAACAATTATCTTTGACCCTAATTCGTTAATGTGCACCTTTTTTGGCCTCACCGATGGGTGAGAGATAAGATTTCAGCTGGCTTTTTATGCCGACAGTTTTGCTTGTTTTTTTTTTCCCTCCTGTGTGTCACAGGTTAATGCATTTTTACGGCTCTGAAATAACAAAACTCTTAACGTCCTTTTTGTTTTCACTCCCACAGTCACCTAAAGTTCGCCCTTACTCGGCGATGGATGGCATCCCCTTCTTCCTCAGCAGAGTAAAGTCGGAACCCCCCGAGGATCTGCTCGCCCATGACCTCCACTTCCACACGCAGACAGAACCTGTGGACCTGTCAATCAACAAACCCCGCCCCTCCTCTTTGTCTACCACCACCGCGAGCATAACCTCCTCGTCGTCGCCCCCCCACAGATCCGCCTTCTCCCCGTCTTCGTTGTCGTCCTCCTCATCCTCCTCGTCTTCTCCGTCGGTTATCACCTCGGCTTCCTCGGTGCTCACGCCGGGCCCCCTGGTAGCTCCCGGAAGCGGGGTGAGAGGTCAGCCGTATTTGCACATCCTGCAGTCCGTTCCGCCGCCTCCGTCCAGCCCCCTGAGCCTGCAGGGAGCCGGGAAGCTGGCTGGCCATGTTCACCGCATCCCAGTTGTGGTGCAGTCACTGCCCCTCATGTACACCACTGCAGTGCGATCGCCCTCCAGCCTCAACAACGCTATCATGCTACCTCTACTGGAAGAGGCCAAAAGCCAGGGCAAAGGTGAGATCATGCTCTTAGGATTTATTACATATTCATGAGGAAGACTTTGTTCTTTTTAGAAAATAAGAAAAAATGAAAAAAAAAAAATCACTGTAATTTTCTTGCAGATATGTAATCAGAGATCCCAGGAAAAAAAAAGAGTTTTAGATTTTGTTCTGCTACCTGATTATTAAATATTTATTGACTTGGCAAAACATTAATGCAGTGTAGAAATTTTAAAGCATCCCTAATTTCTTTCCACTTTGGTTCCAAGAAGCAAACATCCTTGTAAACGTTTAGAACTGAGTCAATATAGGTTGAGTCTCGACCAGTTTCTTCAGGTTTTTTTAAGGGCTTTCAAAATACGTGGTTCAACCTTGGCTGCTTTTTCCCCTCAATCTCAAAATTTAAAGCAATGTTATTACAGAGAATTTTGATTTGTTGCAATAAAGTCTCACATCATGGACGCAAATAAAAGAAGAAATGGTGACTCACTTCAGACTTTTGCATAAAAATGTCCTAGCTTTTTTCGCAAAAGCTTCAACTAGCAGCTTTCAAAGTGACTACACAATTTGCTAAATTTCCAGAAGAGACTGTCAACCGTATATAAAAGTGCTTGTGACAAAATGTGTGAAGAGCTTTAAAATAAATTAATGCGTTCTTGCAGTAGCACAAACCCACACTGTATGTTTTTTTCAATCCTTTTAAATCCACCATATTTTCATTTCAGATCAGTGAATTGCACTCTGATACAAACAGGCCCACAGGATCACAGATCATATTTGAAAGAGACCAGAGATTTTATTTTATTTTTTCACATGTTCATCCTTCGTTCTTTAGCAGACTTTCCTGGAGCGTTTAATGTTGAAAAGATTTTTCATTTTTAGATCCATCTTACCAATGAAAGCCATACTGCCCCAGTGAAAGTTCCAGCACAGTTTAGCAAACTCCACGTTTTCGTTTGCTATAATAGGTTAGAAAAGGGCGTTTTTTTTTTTGACAAGACAGTGACTCCACTAAAGACAGAGCGTCACAGCCAAACATATTAAAGGAAAGCTTTGTGGAAGGAGAACGGATTTCAGATAAAGATGGAGAAAAGATGAGTTAAATGTGAACCAAAGGTAGTTGTGGTTTTTGAGTTAAATTTGTGAAAACATATTTTCCATGATATTGTGAGGTGCACCTGTGTTGTGAACCATTATTCTGATAGACAATACATATTGCACATACATTAGTCAGATTCATTGTGGGTCAGAAAGCTATCAAGAAAAGGTCACAACAAATAGTGGATTGCTTATCTGAATATCCTAATCTGAGGTGTGCAGAGGTTTCACTTCTTCTCTGATTTTCTGCAGTCAATTCACTGGCAGATTCAGTGCTGTGAACACAGCTAGTTTCAGAAATGTCCTCAGATGGAACAATTTTGCACCTTCCGAGCAAAGATAAGGTTTATGGATTTAACTTTTTTTGTCTATCTTAAATAGCCTGCTTCTTCTCCTCTGAAAAGCGGATATCTCAGATAGTGCGAGTATTAGACTTCTGTGGCACAGCCTCGACTGTGTTGTTGGTTTTTCTCTTTGGGTGTGGTTTTACTGCCAGCCGCTGGAAGAAAGCCTACAGGAGGTGTTTCTGTCCAAGTCCGCGCCATACACAGGGCAGCTTCTGGTTGCAAAAGAGGTCACTCCTAGTCACTCCCAGCAGAAAATGGATAGACGCATTTAGACTTGCACTCACGCCCATGTACAGTATGTTCTGTACATACAGGCAAAACAACAAAGATGTGTAATTAGAGCATGTGCTCAGACAGACACTTGGCTGCTTGGGTGGGGTGGTCCTCAGAGATGGGCGTTTTAAATGCCGTCTATGTGCTCTCTTGGAGAGCAGAGGAAAAAAAAAGACGGAGGAAAGGATAGAAAAAACAAAACTTGGACAAAAGGGTGTGGATGTTGATGGATATTGAAGATGTGTGGCACTGAAACAAACACATGCATGCACACACACACACACACATGCATGCACAGTTCAGTGCTGCTTCTAATAGGACCAAACAGGGAAATAGGGGGGAATCAGTGCTGCGTCTCGGGTGTGGTTGATGTTGTAAGCCACCAAGACAATTAAACCATTTTGCTATTTTTACATAATAAGACTTAATGTTGAAAAAGTGAAATATCCAACAGCAAAGTGGATAATACTGTGATGAACTACTGACCTATGTTGGGTGTACCCTGCCTCTGGCCCAGGGTTTAAGTGTGAGCCTATTGCTGCAAATAGGCTCCAGCTCCCATGCAAACCTCCAAAGACAAGTGGCTGGGAATGGACGATGTTTGGATGGATAATAATTTTTAATGCATTAGAGATGCTTTTCTGCATCTTAAGCCTAATGCTAGTTTTCTGAAAAAAAATTACAAACACAACCAATCTTGGTATCTTTCTGTCAAAAAATATGTCTGTGTAAACCAGGTACATCTCTGAATAAAGTTGGGGTGTTCCTCAAGGATGGGTCTTGGGACAACTTGTAGATAAAGGATTTGAATTCCATGTTACTGACTGCTAATTTTTCTTTTCATGCAAAACTACCCCTGATGCATTCTGTCAAATCACCTCTTTACCAGGCATCATGTCCTACCTTAAACATTACTGTAATCAGTAAAACTTTGTGAAACTCCAAATTAATTTTGAAGATAAAAGAACAATCTAAATAGATATTTTTATAACTGAGGTCTCTGAAGATTTCTTCTGTTGCTGTCCTTTGCAGAATGAATTAGAAATCAAACAGTTGGTACAAGCTCCTGTTATCTAACTGACTGAATCTGGTCTTTTTTCAGACCAAGAATATCAGCAACTTCCTCATCTTTCATTGACTATGCAGCTTTAATTAACATAAATGCTTCGTCATATTGCAATGCTTTCGATATAGCTTATTATGTGTCGAGATACGTAACAAATGTGTGTGTATATATATATATATATATATATATATATATATATATATATATATATATATATATATATATATATATATATATATATATATATATATGTGTGTGTGTATATATGTATATAAATGGACTCATGAGTGTTGATCAGTCTCCTTTGTATTGGCACACTGGTTCATAAATTCTTTCAATGCATCTGACCCATCATAAACAATATCTTATGATGTGGTAAAACTGCAGGAATTTATCAAATTCATTGATATAAACAGTTGTTAATCACACTAATATTCTTATATTGATTTGTGGAAAAAAGAATTGTAACTTTCTGGCTCACACTTGTGAAATATACTCCAAAATCAGCAGCATATGAATCAACTTGTGTCTGTGAGAGCATTCGAAGAACTGTATGCATCAATATCACTTGGAATATAAATGTTTTAACTGCTGAGTTTCCCAATAATTGATCTTGACTCACAAGTGTTTTTCTCTTTGGATTTATTGATTGTATTTAATTATTTAAAGTTCTTCTTGTATACTTTATATATTGACTCAGTTTTAGTGCTTTTTTGCTTTGCTGTCAACTTGATCTCATCACTCCTAAATAATATTTTCGATTGTAAGTTTTATTCACAATCTAAACATTGTGTGAATAAACAAATCCCACTTAGGAGAACTTTAAAGTCAGCATCGTTCTCTTTAAGTTCTCAAGTCAGACGTATGGACGCACACACACACATGCGCGTGCACACACCCTCCTGTGCAGACGCACACAGCGCAGGTTGGCCACCCTCTTTCAGTGAGGGTGATACCCTTTTCTTTCACTGCTGTCTCCCTGTCTCCGGCAGGAGGTTTCCATGGAAACAGGGCTTGACTGGAAACAACAGGAGCGAAAGAAAGAAATCCAGTGCTCTGCCCACCTCTCCACCACTCCTCCTTTGTGTCCGTCATTCAGAATGACCCCCCCCACACACCCACTCCCACCCACACCCTTCGCTCTCCCCCCTTCCAAGTGATGCATTTCGAACTAATTACAGGTTTTTGACGGGGCCGCTGACCACTCTGCATGTCTTCATCCGTGACAAGAGCACAAAACCTTTAAAAGCAAAAGTCCAGCAGAGTTGAGCATTATTTTTTTGTGCGCCCCCCAGCCCTTATCACCACCCACCCCCCCATTCCCCCCTCAATAATAACAGCATGTCTGCTCCTAACTCAAGACCATTATTATGAACCATTATGGCCACAGTCTCAGCTGTGAGGGCAGAGGAGGTGAAGTCCTGATAGCTTATAAAAGCCCAAAGCTTCACAGCAGCTAGACATTAGTGAACAGCACTGTATATGTATCACCATATATGCTCTGTCTGCTGGGTGTTTTATCTCCAGACATAAAATCTTATGCCATGTTATTTCAGGATTGATTTTTTTCCAGCTTAATTGTGAAATTGCTCCAATCCTGCAGATTTTAGCACCTTTCCTTTGACAAGTACTCCCCAGCACGTCTGTATTTATGTTTTTTTTTTTTTCTGACAATGATTTCTGGAGTACTCCAGGATGTTCTCTGCTTGTGTCCATGGAGACAGAAGGGACAGTATCTCTGTGAGCTTTGGAAAAGAATCTGAATTTCTCGTCAAGGACAACTTGGCACAAGGATGTAACTTTTTTATATAGCTCCACAAGTTTAATTTCAGATTTTGCAGACGTTTAATCATTTTAAGTGTGAGATCTTACCGATTTAAAACGACATACTTCAGAGACTTACTACTTAGAGTCTAGTAAATTAGATTACTGTGTGCTTCCCTCAGGAGTACAGTTACTTGAAGAAGCATTAATGCTGCATGATTGTTTTCACATTTTGTCACATTTTATTTTGCTTTTGTGTGACAAACCAACATTAGCGCAAAATTCTGAAATTCCGAATGCCACCGTTTGTTGAAATTACAGATGCAAGTTTTTCTTAATTTGTTTGTGCAACAGACAGACAAATTTGTGTTTGTGGTAAAGACAACAAACACAAATTTGTTGTGTTTGTTGCCATACAGACTAAAACTTTTGCCATTTTCTCAAACTGTGTGTAACTGTGTCTTTCCAAGTTTTTCCAAGTTTTTCTAATGCATCTCTGTTTTGGGTTTCTTTTTAACATACGACCATACTTTATTATAAATTGTTGAATTTTACTTCCAGCTGTATGTTTTAGGTCATTAGTGATTTTGTTTGGTTTATCTTCATCATGTCTGGGCAGTTTTCATGTCACTGCATAAATAGATTGCTCACAGCATACCATCATTATGTCTCACTGCTGGAAGCATAATGATGTTTTTACCTATGCCTGTTGTCTTAGGTAAAAAGTAATTTTTTTTATTCAGATGTGATCAAAGCACCGTCCACATCTTATTTTTGCACCCTACAAGGTTGCAAATTGGACTTCTTCCACCCATAGAACTGGGTGGACAGCAAACACACCTGTTTGCTACTTTTCTTGGTCTTTATGATGCTGGTTGTTCTCTACTGTTCTCTAATAAACTTGAATACATTGTTGCATTGAAATTTTAGGATGTAATGTGACAACCTCATAATTTTCAATGGGTATGAACATTTTTGCAATAACTTCATTCTACATGCCTGCATTTTCTTGTTAGATTTATTACATTTTTGCACTGGGACAATGACAGATTCGTTAAATGTTTCCACAACTGCACTAACAACCAAATAGTGCTCCCCTCTTTCTATCTCCCAGGGTTTAGGCTAGCATAGATTGTGTGTGTGTGTGTGTATTTTTCCTGCGCTCCCTTTATTCTGTGAGTGTGCAGCCGCTGGGTTTAGTGTCATGGTTGGCTGCTCTGTCCACAAGTTGGGCACTGGAAATATACCAGGGCTGAGGACACAGTGGCTCTGCAAAAGGAATACATTTTCTATATCAGTACACATTTTGACAGTGATAAAAAAGACTCAGTGTGTTTAAACTGAAAGAAATTGAATTATTTCATTACACTTAGTAATGCTTTTCACGACGATGTGATCCGGCTTCTAAGTTTACAGCTCCAGTGTCATGTCTGACTCCTGTGTGTGTGTGTTCGTGTCCCTGCAGTACACACAGACCCCAATGGCTTGTCACCGAGGCAGATCAAAAGTGACAGCGATGACGATGACCTGCCGAACGTGACCCTGGACAGTGTTAACGAGACCGGCTCAACGGCGCTGTCTATAGCCCGGGCTGTGCAAGAGTGAGTATCGCCGCCTTGTTTGATATGTGCCGTGCAGAGCTCTGCAAAAACCAAAGGTGAAGTCAGTTTAGCTGTTTTTATTTTTTATTTTTTTGGGAAGGAAGAGAGCGGGCAAAAGAGCAAACAGCCACAAAGGAAGTTGAGCCAAGATAGTGATGACCTCAGTGCGAACCTGCTCGGGCTTGCCTGTTGTTATGACCCTTTTTTCAACTGTCTTTGTGAAAGAGGTGCATCACATCCCTCACAGTTTCTTAGCAACCAAAAGTCATTAAGAATGTTTCTAATGACACCATTTTAACATCATATAGATGTTAAAATGTGGTGGCTTACAGATTTGTTAGAGGCTTTCATCAACTATTTGAAAAATGTATTGATGTCAAATGTACTTTTCTCTTTACCTTTTTAATCAAATAAGTCGTGCCTTCTGGTGTTTGACATAAAATGGACATGAGCAATGAACAGTTTCATTTTCCTTTGTTACTTCTACTCCACATTTCTTTCAAATTACATTTTTAACTCCCGCCTTTAAGGTGAACTTTGACTCTCCCTAGCTGGTTGTCCATTCTAACAATAGTTTTTCACAACTTCAATAACAACAACATTGTTGCAAAGGGAGTCTATTGTGTCATGGTTTCTTTCTTTTGAAGCTGGTGTTTCTTCACATCACATTCCTAGAATGTGTGGCATCAAGTGTGAGAGAAGTAGATTAGAGAAATAAGAGATTCATTTCACCCTATGTGATTCAAAAGAGAGTACACCCTATGTAAATTCTAGGGTTTTATGTGTTTTCTTTATCTCAAGTTTTAGGGTGTACTTAGTTTTTTGCAAACCTTTTCACAATGGCCCAACTTTAGCTTCAGAAATTTTGACTTGACGTGCAACGAGTGGTGACTGATTTTGTACAATTAACTAGATAATTACAGAACCTGGTACAATAAAGTCCTAAAGTTGCTTTTATCATTTTGTCGAGAGCTACATTTCTATCACAGAGGGTAGTCAGAGGTTTGACTCCTCAGATCTCTTCCACTGGGGTGTGTGTGTTTTTTAAATGGTGCTAGACTCAAACAAAGTCTTCAGTAATTAGCCTCGGTTTACAGCATTACAACCAAGTAGAGATTGCACTAATAAACAACTTTTGGCAGATTTTAAATGGTTGTGCACATCTTCTTGTTTAATCTGGTAAAAATTAACTGAAATTAGAAATATATAACCATGTACAACACAGACAACAACTCAGATTAATGTGCAACAAGCTGCAACAAAAAACACCTTTTGTGTTTTTCGGGTCTTCAAACCATCCAATCGGTAGTAGCGACGGGCGGTGTGTACAAAGGGCAGGGACTTTGTACACACCGCTTATGATGATAGTTTATTATGTTATTTGATATTTGTTAGAAAATATTGTGATATCTGAAATTTTGACTCCACAAGTCAAAATTTCACTATGTCTAAAAAAACATCAAAAGTTTGGAATGTACACCTTTTAATTAGTTTATCAGCACGCTGTGTCAGCTGGATCCACAAACAGCATGGCTAGCTTCACTGAATACAAACACAATTCTCTGTGTATTCATCATATTCAATGCAGACCATTACCTTCGCTTTATGATTTCCAAAAAGATTGTTAATGATAGAAATACTCCTACTTTAACATGGTTACCCTTTCAGGTATGTTGAAGTCAAGTTTCTATTTTTAGTCAAAATCCTGCCAAATAGCTGACTCACTTGGCTTCCTGTTGTCGCTAAAGAAGTCCTGTGTATGTAATGACCATCACCAGTCAAAGTCTATGTCTGTTGTAGCAGCCTGAATGAACAGCTAACATATCTTTCAATAATGTACAACTTTCTGTTATATTACAAGTTTTGTGCTTGTGTTTAACATAATTTTTAAACTCCTAAAACGAAAACCCAAAAGAGCTATATTTGAGTTTTCTTCATTTAGTACCAGCAGCCACACTCAAAATTGTTGTGCTACCTCGTGGCACTGAGTTTGTTGCATTCACTGATCAGAATAGACTGAGTTTTTGAGCATCCAGAAGCTCATTTTGATCACCAGTCAATTTATGGCTGCAGCTCTAGAATAAAGAGACAGTTTTTTTCAACAGGATTTTTTATTTATTTATTTATTTTCCTAAATAATTTTATCTTCGCAGGACACAAAAACTTGAACTTCCGTAGAGTTGTTGAACATTTGACTTGCACAAAAAATAAATATTTTCAAGAAGACTAAAATGTGTTACACACTAATACATGTCAAACATGTATGGCACACTTAAAAGCAACAACAACATGTACATAAAGAGGTTCCCCAGTAGCTTAAATGTTTTCCTTGATAACCTGCAGTCAGAGCTTTAACTTCACGACCTGCTGCTCAAGTGCTCCTCTACTTTCCAATGCATCTGTGTGGGTGTGAATCTATAAAACTGAATACATATGGCTCAGACATACTTTGTGCCCTGTTCGGCCTGCAGACATCAGCTCCTGCAGTGCCAGTCCATCTGTGTCGAAATGAAAAGACTTCCTCTCCAGTGGATGACAGCTTATAATATTCTGATCCAAAGCAGGAAATCAGAAGCATTCAGATGCACTTGGCTCAGTCCCGCCATCCGCCGCCGCCACTGCTGCCCAGAAAGCCTGAACAGTCAAAACTTCCAACCTAGTCAACTCCAGGAGCATTTTCGCAGATTAACCACAAGGAAATTATTGGAGGAGGGAGTGAAAATTTGACTAATGATGCAACATCATTAGCAAGGCTGAAGCCCAGCTTGGCTTGTTTTTTCGTGGTAATGCTCCAGCTTTCAGGGTCGACATTTGTTTGTACACTCGCTCTATTAAAACGTACACTAATTAAACCAAATGAGCTTTTGTGCGACACATTAGGATTTAAAAAAAAAAAAAATAGCAGGGTCACTTTGCTCAGAAGAACAGGTTGCCATTTCTCCGATGCACGCAGGGACTCACTCTAGGATTCGGGTTTCAGTGCAGGTTATTGAAAGGGACAGGCGTGCCCCAGAGTGCCACACGTGGGCACTGGTTTGGTCAGAGGACAACAGAGGTTGGCAGAACCCAACCTTGCACTGCTCAAGCTTTCACTATGGAGATAAATCACCACCCTGGAAAAGCAATACCCTGCCAGGGCCTGCCCACACACTCACTTCTCTATGTGCAAAGTGCAAGCTGTGTGGAAACTGTGTGCATGCTGTGTGTATGTGTGTGTGTGGTGGGGGGTAGGAGGGGCTGAAAAAGTATGTGCGCACACTTGTAAGTATTCATCCCTGGCATATGTGTGTTCTGTGCCGTTGGCGTGCATCTGTCTCTGCACGGTGGTCGGAACAGCTGGTTCCAGGGGGTGGTCGGCCATTGTCAACAGGAACACAGACTTGCGTGTTTGTCTGTGAAAAACAAAGCAGTCTGTGGCGTTCTTGAGTTACATGCCGGCCTGGTGACAGGAAAGGAGAGAGTGTGCGCTGCGTTGTGACACACCACACGAGCTCCCTGGACATCTTCACAGCAATCGAAGCCGGGATATTACTCCGACGTGTCGCTATGTTTCCTGTTTTCTACACTTGTATAGCTTTTCTCTTTTTTTTTTCATGCTTTAATTTGGCCCCTGCATTTACACAAGCGGCCCGCTCAGAGTGCGTCAGGGAGGAGAGGTGTGAGGGTGGAGGATGGGAGTGCCTGCAGCTTCCAATCCAGGTATCCATAAATAAATAACTGAGTGAAAGGAGAGAGTTACGGTGTGTGTGAGTGGATCATGCTCTTCTAGGGCAGCCTCCTCCATATTCATGCGTTTCCTTGGGGACGGCTGGATGGGCTATTGTGGAAGAGCGAGGGTGAAAGAGGAAGAAGGAGAGAAAAAAGTGTGCGACTGCGTGCGTGTGCGTTTGGGAGGAGTAGCCTCTGCTGAAGCCTGGCTGGTCCCCAAGGACCCAGTGGCCACACAACAGAGCAGGTGGATTGTTGAGACGTGGGGTAGTGTCCTCCAACAGGTACGGGAATGCCCGATGGGCTGTCTCCCACGGCACACGTCGAGTCAGAGGCTCCTTTTTCCTGTTTTCCTGATAAATCCACAACTCTGTTTGAAAAGCAGTTTGTGTGTCAGGGCTGTTTTGACCTCAGCTGCCCGTGAAAATCCTGAAAAATAGGCGCCGTGTTTGGGTTTTGAGTATTCAGGTGACAGGTGAGGAGATGAGGGGGTGGAGGGGAAGGGGAAAGTTGGAGAAGCAGATGAACTAAAGCAGAGGTCAGTTCTGTTTGCAATCAGTTTCATCTGCACTTCCTATTTTTCCCTCTTCTGCTTTGAGTGATGCAAACAGACACATTCATTCAACCAAAAATGTTACGCTGACACAAGTTTGGAAGCAGCAGAGTTTGCCTCTGGAATCTCATAAGAAAATAAATCAAATTCATGTTCCAAAAGAACTGCAATTTAACTAGAATTTGAGACGGAAATAGAAAGACAATTATATGGAACTTATTTTTGCTGCTTTGCCAAAGTATTAACACCCCTTGAACTTTGTCATATTTTTTTCATGTTCCAGCCATAAAACTCCCTGTGTTTTGCTGGAATCTTATTATTTGGAGCAAAACAAAGTGGATAACTGTTCAGCTTTTCCTCCATGATTGACGTTTGTTTACCTCCATGCATCTTTCCATCAACTCTGACCAGTTGCTGATGTAGTAAATCGTCCATGCAGCATGACGCTTCTACGACCATGAAGATGGTGTGTTCAGGGTCTGGTTTTAGATTTCGCCTCAACCACAGTGTTTTGAATGTAGGCTAAGAAGTTACAAATTAGGCTCATTCTCCTACATGACTTTTGACAAACTGTAAACTGGACTTGTTTTCTTTTAGGCCATATTTGCAGATTGAACTAGTAGCAATAATAGTTAACAGATTCTCCTACATGAGCTGTAGATTTCTCTAGCTCATACAGAGTTTCCCTTCGCCAATTCTCTGATTAACCCTTTATGACCTAAATTCCAACTCTGCGCCCAAATATTTCTGCTTATTTTAATTGTACACAGTTCTTTAAATGTCCTGTGAGTAAATATATTTACCCATTTATCCATAAGAACTGGGACTTTCAATGTCTACCAAGTTATTTGATCAATTTACTGTTAATCAAAAGAGTGCACCTCAGATTGATTTCACTCCCTGCTGCAGCAGAGGTGACATTACCGTAACAACCCAAATATTGGTTGGAATCCTTTTGAATTTTTCAGAGTGTGGCAGAATTACGGTACGGCAAATTTGGCTGGATCGCCGGCTCTCTGTTTTGTTGGAAAGGTTAATGCTCTTCCTACTCAGTAGAGGTGTAATGCTTCAGTTTTGTCATGACCTTCTGTTTTTAGAACTATCAGGTGAGTTGGATCTAAAAGTGGAAGGACACCAGCCCTTAAGGCAGGAATTTGTACACCCCAGACGTAAAGTCATCAGTTGATTCCCTTTGAAGACGTTGTTTGTTTAAGCAGCGCAGCTTTTCGTGATTGTAGCGTCAACCTGCAATCACGAGTGTCAATGGTTTGTCAGACGTGCTTCTAAACTCATGCAGTGACCACAGACTTGAGGCACTGTACATGCCTGCTGCTCAGTTTGTGACCTCAGCCCCTGCTTTTACTAAATCACTATTGTTTCATTACTAAATGGTTATTCAGTCATTAAAATTCCCAAAATGGGTTAGGACGTGATCTGAGATTGTGAAATTTTGCTTTGAAAATTATTAAATGAGGTCATAAAAGAGCAAAACAAACCATCCTCATCTTTTTTTTTCTCTCTGTTGTATTGCACAACGTCTAACGTCTTTGTTTTTTCATCAAGCAGAGTACGTTCTTGTCTGGCCAACAGTAATGCTAAGCTATTAAAATGTTTTAGTTTTCATAATGTGAAACAGAAATTGGGAAGTTGTCAAGTTTGTAAAAAAAAAGAAAAGAAAAAGCCACTTTCTTTCACTACCACTGTTTATGCAGTGACATTAAGTGCTGTTGTGTCTACAAGGACTGAAGTATTTTACAAATTTTCATAAATACCCAAAATGAGCACACGTGAGCTTTGTCTTCAGTAATGACAGAATCAGGAGCAGAAAAATTGCTCATTAATGGATGTATCTGCTTGTTGTAAGACAGAGCAACCAGAATAGAAAGATTTAGACTTTTTGGGATGATATTATAATCACGAAGTTACAGTCAGGATGAAGTCAGAATGTAAACATCTGCCTCATCTGTTCGGTGTCTGAGCCCAGAGTGTTTCCATTGTAAATCCTGGCGCTCTGCTTCACTTTTCCCTGGCAGACACATTTTCTCATACAGTCCCAAACACTTTAGATTGTGGCCTGCAGTGCCTTGCAAAAACTATTCATACCTTTTGAACTTGATTAAATTTGATCACGGAGCACATTGAGAAGAGGAAGGGGAAACGACAAGCATATTTTTTAACATTTGGTGCAAAGAAATTCTGTATGCATTAAGCTTCCTTGTGTCAGTACCTTCAGCTGCAGCTGCAAGTCTGTTGGTATGTCTACCAGCTTTTCACATTACCTCTCTATTAAAATTGCTTGAGAATCTTCATTTTCAAGTCTTGTCATAGACTCTGGTCTTTTTTGACACATAAATATCGGTTGATTTAAGTCAACCGGCTGTAGCTCTGACTGTATGTTTCATGTCATTTGAGGCTCTAACGGGTTTTCTCCCAGGAATGTTTTGCGTTTAACTTAACATGTTTTCATATCCGATCAGCTTCCCTCTTCCCACTGAAACAAAGCAACCCCACAGCATGATGCTACCACCATTCCTCCACACCTGGGATGGTGCATTCAGGGCCAGCGGTTTTATGAGTTCTGCAACACAGAACATTTTGCATTTGATCAGAGCTCCTTCATCCATGTTCGCTACGCTCCCTTCATGCTTATGGCAAACTTTAAACTTTTTTCAAACTTTTGAAGTGCCTGCTTAGTTGTGCTTCTGTGCCCTTATGAATACAATCTGTTTAGGTGACTTCTAGAGGAAATTTTATGCACTGGGTCTCATTTAAAGGCATCAGATCAAAGGGGCTGAAAACATAAAATGCATAAATTTTCTTTTGCTTCACAGTTAACCACTGCTTTACGTTTTTCTATCACATAAAGTCCCAAAGAAAACTAAAGTTTGTGATGGTAAAGTGAAAGAATGTTTAAGTCTTTCAAAGTGTACGATGACTTCTGCAAGCCGATGTAAGTTTACTAGTTATTTAACTAGATGGCTTATGAAAAACAATAAATTCATGTGATTTATCTAGATGTAAAACTTTAACATCCGGTTGTTGTGCTGTTTGCGAGCTAAGAGAGAGCAACAGAGCAAGAAGGGGAGAGGGAAGTATGAGTTCGCTTCATATCTGACCCGTGTGCTCATTTCCTGTACGGCTTCTGGTTGGTAGGAAGCCAATAGTAACAGGTGATTTGTAATCATATGCGTGTGTGTGTGTGTGTGTGCGCATGGTGCATCTCTGTGATTCTGTCTCTCTGTGTGTGTTTCTCTCTCTGTAAGGTTGTTCAGTACCCCCGAGCCTGTGTTTGACAGCTCATGCTTTTGGTGAAAGACAGCGAGACGGGAAGTGGGTTGTGTGTGGCGGAGACAGTTCACAGGAGGGCCTGTCTGGCAGCCTCTGCTCCTCTTTCAAATCCCTTTAACATGATCAGAGCTGTTCTTCTTCTGAAACACCCACAGCTCCCCCCCGACCCCAATCTCTGACCCCCTCACCTTTTCCTCCGTAAATGCAGCGCAGCAAACTCCACCGCTGCTCTGAGAGCCCCATTAAATATATTTCACAGATATTACTCCTCCTCTTAAGTAAACAGAGATCCTCTTGTTGTTTCTGCGTAGCGTATCTCCTGCCTCTGGGCACTGTGCTGGGTGTGTGATGCAGTCATGTGTTTATCGTTTCATGAAAGGTGCTCCCTGTTCTACCGTCAACAGTCTGGGGTGAGGCATGAAGTCCGCACTATTACAACCCCTGGGTTCCTCTTCTTATAACTTTATTGTTTCAGGCGAGTTCTGATGAGGCCTGCAAATAATAAAAGAGGACAGTTAGACAGTTTAAAACTTTGCTCCAACTCCATTTACTGACTCCCTGGGGTTTCCCATTTTTGGCCTCGAGGAATCATAAAATCAGCACTTAATTTAGTGTCATGAGCTAACTGGGGAATTATTGTGATAACTGGATAAGACTAAGAAAAAGAAATGTTTTATTTGCCAAGTTCGGATGATCCAAAATGCCTCTCTGCTCAGCTGCCGCCGCACAGATACTCTTCTGTAAAGCTGCACTGCCACCTGCTGGCAAAGTTACGTTTCTGCTGCTTTGTGCCATAAAATGTACAGATTTCCTGTCAGTATCAATGTTATTGACAGGTATCATTGATTATTTTGTCTATAAAAACTATTTTTTATGGTAGAAAAGGTTGCACAGGCAGCATAAAAATAATTAAAATAAATGGCATATATTGTTTTATCAACTTATTACTCTTATTGGTACTTTTTAAAGAAAAAAGTCAATCTTAGCATGCATATTAAAACTAAGATAAGAAAATAAAAAATAAATTTTATAAACACAAGTTTGCTTGGTGAATGCAGTTTTTTCTATGTAAATAAATAATTTAAATACACTTAAAAAGCATCAGGAAAAACCACAAAGCTACCTGAACTCATAACTTCTTTTACTCACAGATTCATTACTGCTCTGTTGCATCAGAAAGTCACTTTGAACAAGCTTTTCTTGTTCAAAATTTCTCAGGACTGTGGCTTGGCTCCTCCAAAAATGTTGATGTTGCTTCCATTCCGAGGAAACGGGTTGAGAAAATGGAAAATTAACTTTGAGCCAAAATCTTCCAGCTGTATGGATACATTTAGGACTCACTGTAGGAATATTCATTCTGTGCAACGGTGAAAACGTCAGCCTGGCATGAGCAAAACTGGAATGGGTTAAAACTGACACATGTCTACTGAAGCTGTGAAAAGATTACCTGAGAAACATCCAAGAAGCAGCTGGAAACATTCATCAATATGTGCTGTGCAAAGACGAACAAAGGAAAGAGAAAAAAAAACACTTTAGTCAGATCAACAACAGAAAAGAGTGCAACCGACTGAAAGAAGACGGAAAGGTCACATTTGAATAATTGTACAGTATTTGTATACATTCTTACAATCTTCATCGCTGTAAGTTATGCAAAATATTTCAAACAGAATGTGTCAAGCTCAGTTTTCTGTCAATAATAGCAACATTGTACCCACATTCTGTCGCTTTGGTCATCGTTTGAGCAACCAAGTTTCTAATCCTCAGCGCCTAACACAAGACAGCCAGTGAAATTAATGTCACTGTTGTCAGGACAAGTTTTGTATTTTGCTGTTATTTTGGTGTTATTGTCACAACTTCATATTTCTTTTATACTGACGTCTTTTGGGCCTTGTGTCTTGCAGCTCCATGTCGCCGTTCAGTATTGACAGCATCCGACGCCCCCGGAGGTCAGAGTCACCTGACTCGAAGAAGCGAAGAATCCACAGATGTGACTTTGAGGGTTGCAATAAAGTGTACACCAAAAGCTCGCATTTAAAAGCACACCGGAGGACACACACAGGTCAGTTCTCTGTGTTTGAAGATGTTGTTGTTTTTCTCCAGGCAAGTGAAGCTGAGATATATTGAGGCTTCATGACGCTTGTGGACATTAAGTCGCATGAGAAGAATGAGAAGTTCTTATTTTTTCCATTCCATTTAGAAATTTATGGACAAATATTGAGAATTAAATCAAAAGGTTGAGAAAATATCAGCATTTTGATAAAAAAGGCAAAAGGTTATACAATGTTGAAAGTTGAAATCTTAAATAAAAACTAAACATCTTGAAGGCAGTGTTGAATTGGTTTGTTTTATAGAACTTAGTGATTTTAAGGTTGTTGTTTTTATTTCCAAGTATCTGGAATTTATCTTCAGCATTTGGACTTTATATTTGGTCTTTCTCCTCGTCCTTCCGTGTTTTTACAAAACCCGTCTTCTTTCGTCTCTATCCTTTTTCTCCTTGTGACTCTAACGGCCTGTTATCAGGAACAGAGTTTCATAGAAATAGAAAAAAGAACTATGTCTCAAATTTGTGGCCAAGATAAATGAGCCCCCGAATTAACAGGAGAGATTACTGATAACTAAGTAAAACTTCCTCACACTCAAAAAGTAAAGTAAAAATGTAAATAAAAACACTTTAGGTATATTTGTTTTTGTTGGACTTATCTTTACGGAATAAATTCTCAAATTAGAAGTTGGATTTATCAAACGTTTCAGTGGAAGATGATGGTAAGGCAGTAAATAATGTATTTATTTTAAGTATTGGTACACATCTTAACTTTAACTTTAACTACACTCCACGTATATTCAACCAAAGATTTCTTTCATTGTTTTCTTTAAACAGTTTTTATTTAAACTGTTGGGAAGTTATTTATTATCCAGTTGTAACAACTTCTACAGAAAGTGGGTCAGAGGAAGCTATCCTCGTAAATTATTCAAGTAGCCCGAGGCTTTAAAAAAAAAAAAAGAAAAAGCATTTTCAGAAATCTTACGCACCAGTTCTTTTTCTCTTTGGTAACAAGAGTGTATTTTTCATTTGTTTTTACGTGATCAAGAATAGTTTGACACATTTTTCTGACATCTTTGCTAGATGCAAACTCCCGTCGAAACATTTTCTTTAAAAATGACCTTACAGTATTCTTCCCATGAAAAGTCCATGCAGAAAAAGATGGAAACTCATAAACTATTTAGCAGATCAGTGGATCGGTTGTATTATCTCTGATGGTCTGGAAGATGTGACCCATTCGTCTGCTGTTGTCCTTCTGCAGGGGAAAAGCCATACAAATGCACCTGGGACGGCTGCACCTGGAAGTTTGCCCGCTCCGACGAGCTGACGAGGCATTACAGGAAACACACGGGCGTGAAGCCCTTCAAATGCGCAGACTGTGACCGCAGCTTCTCCAGATCCGACCACTTAGCCCTGCACCGACGGAGACACATGCTGGTGTGAAGCACAACGGGAGCGACTAAGAGAAGATGTCAGCAGAACAGACGCAGCCACACACATGCACACACGCACGCAGACGCACGCAGGCAGCCTCGGGAGCGGGATCTCCCTCTGAATGTTTTTCAGCTGGCCTGGATGCCCAAACTTATTCACGCATACACACACGCACACACACACAAATTGGAGATGGAGAAGCTGGATGGACGGTCGGAGCAGAAAACAGGGTGACTTCCAGATCCTCTCTGGATGGGAAGGAAGCGATGGCGGGATCTTTCTCTGTCATCAGATAATGATGGGAAACTGCTTTTAACAGCACTGTTTGTTGATGTTTAGCTTTGATTTTTTTTTTTTAATTTAGGATGAAGTGGCACTCTATAAATTTGGATTTTACTCACTTTACATTACAGCTGCTTTTCCAGCGTTCATAATGTGAAAGACCCCTTTGAAATCAGAGCGGGAAGTTCAACCTGGTGTGGATTTTAACAGGAAGAGACTTGGCCGGAGTTGGATTTACAGACAGTATTGTTTTTTTTTTTTTTTGTATTGCCTTCCCGTGAGTTGACAAGCAGAGGGCAGTGTTTGATCACGGAAGGTTTACTTGGACTTGGACCGTCACATCTAAGGCGTTTTCTTCAAGGCGTTGAATGAGGGTTGGACTTTCACCTTTTTTTCCGAAGCCAGCAAGTGCAAACAACTTCACAAGGATGGATTCATTTTTACCCGCTTTCTCAGCCATTGGCTGCAGGGACTGGACACACAAAATCATCATCACACCAGCAAAGAAGCCCCACATTATCATACGGACTTCAGAAAAACCCCATTCTTCATCAGTGCTTTTCTTTATTTGAGCCTCTTTAAAGCATTTTCTTAAACAAATCTTATGTGGATTTTGAGCTGTGATTAGCAATCAGTAAAGTGCAATCTTAAAGAATATATATATAAATATATAAATATATACAAACTTTCAGTATGAAAATGTTTTCTTTATTGAATCTTGCTTCTTTTTTTTTTTAAAGTACCAGCTTATCGCATATGTTTGATTCTGACAAATACCCGCTCATGTACAGTGAATCTTGAAACAATCAGAGGAGAGTATGTGGGAAAAATAAAAAAAAATAAAAACCCAACAGAGGCACCTTAGAGACTTTCATGCTGTCAACATCTACCTGTACGCATCAGTCAACTCATTTTTCTCCTCTGAAATTGAGCCAAAACAAGGAGTTTTGTGTTGTGGTCTTTGTACGGCACGGCGGCCCTCGACCACAGGCTGACTTTACGGAGACAAACCTGCACACACAGAAGAGCAATACATACTGATCAAAGTGTTTGTTGATGTCCAAAATCAAGAGTCAAAGGGTCAAGGTCAGCCTCGCTCTGTTTCTGAAGCAGCTTCAAGTCGCGTTGTGAGGTCTCTCAGCTGGTCATTCACTCTGCAGCATCTTTGTTTCTTTGTTAGTTTTTTTTCTTATTGTCTGCTTGTTTTCGTTTTTTTTTTTTTTAAGTTTCATAATCATCACTTGAAATGTTCTCACCTCACTTTGGGCGGTTTTGTGGGTTATCTCCAGAAGTTTGGTGATTAAAATGCAGGCGTTGCACACCTAGTTACATACATACGCCGCTTTGCAAAACTGTTCATCCTTGAACTATTTGACATTCGTTGTGCTACCATGACAAGCATAAATGTATGATCCTGGGATTTTATGTGGTAGACCTATAGCAGTAGTGTGTAGCTGTCAAGTGGGAGGACACTGATACATTTCTATTTCCAAAGCAAATGAGTGAAAATCTGACTCCCCTGAGTCAGTACTTTAAACGTCTGACCTCTTTGCAGAACAGCAGCAAGCATCCTGAAATCCAGGTGGACTTCTTTTAAAAGCTTATAAATTCACTTCTCTTCATTTAGAGGTATCACAGTAGAGGGGGACTGAAAAAATAAGCACATCTTTTTTTTGTTCCCCCTCCACAACCAGGCACTACTATGAAAATCCCCATAAAACCACATTAAAGTTTATGGTTGTGACATGGTGAAATGTGAACAAGTTCAAGGAGTCTGAAAACTTTTGCAAAGCACTGCACATAATACAGATATTATTATGAAATTGTTGCATTATATCACAGAAGATTAAGACTTTAGATGCAGTTACTGGCAGAAATGTCTCTCAGAAAACATCACACTTGACCTCAATCAGGGAATTCAATTAAAAGTATATTTTTATAGTCCTGAAGGCAAATGTCTTTTTTTTTTTTTTGTTGCAACTCTTTCCAGCACTCTTGATGCCGTTTAAAAGCTTCAGGCTTTAGGTACCGAGCCAACCGATATTATGCGATCTACTGCTGCCAAATGCAGTTATTGGGCAGAAGCCAGTAAAAAGACACATCAACCTTTTTTTCCTGATTAAGGTATCGTGAAACCCATATGCTTTTACACTAACACACACACACACACACACACACACACACACACACACACGCACACACACACACGCGCACACGTCAGAAGCTCTCACTTTTAGTAAAGAAGCCAAATCCAGGGAACAGTTTTTCACACGTGCAGAGTTTGTGCGGCCCTCTCGTATGTTACCATTATTTATGTATATTGTTTGTGCACATGTCATTACGCCCAGTTGTATTATCGTTTTGGCAACAAAAAAAAAACATATTAGCACCTTCTTTGTTTATTGAGATGATTTTCAGATAATTTTATTTCAGATGTCAATTTATAAACAAATATTCGTCATATTTTATCATCCGTATAATGTATTAGGACATTTTTTGTGTGTGTGTGTGTGTGATTGAGGGGCTCTTCATGTGACGGCTTGTAACTCTTTCTCTTATGTAAAAAAAAAAAAAAAAAAATACTGTTTCTTGGATTTTTTGAAATGTTGTAATATATGTGATAGTGGAGATACAAAGCTATTACAAAGTTCTACAACTTGTACATACAACGGAGAAATAGGGCTTTTGATTCGTAGACGCAGGAGATACATTTATACGCGTAAAGTCTTTTTTCTGAGACCGTAATTTATCTAATTTGATATACAGCGAAAATGGGCTAAAGGTGTCCATCATGTAAATGGTCATTATGTGATGTTATATAACAGCTTTTTCTTTACTATTATTATTATTACTGTTCTGGTTCGGGGTTCAACAAGTTCACGATCAAATGATTATTGTTTTATTTTGTAAGGCTGCACCAGTGTTTGCTAGAAACAACAAATTATTTATATACACTGACCGTATTAAGGTACTTGAATGCCTGTGTTGGTATTTTGCTATTTTACAGTAGAAACCAGGTATTTACGCATACATACGCATATTTTGACTCACTTTCTGATATTAAATATGATCAAATGTTTCCTGTTTTAGGTCAGTTAGGGTCAACATATTATTATTATTTTTATTTACTAAATGCCAGAATAATGAGATCAGTATTATATATTTTTTATAATGACAATAAATCAGAAACTCACTAAATTTTTGATTCCTCTCCGGAAGCTTCTTACGGTATTCTGCTGGAATTTGGTCCTATTCCTGACAGAACTGTTCTGATTGAGTCAACACACACACACACACACGCACACACACGCACACACACACACACACGCACACACACACACACACACGCACGCACACGCACGCACACACACAACTTTTCAGCTCTACCTAAAACGTCCCATGGGACTGTGGTCAGGATTATGTCACTGTAACACTCCAGAACATTGACTTTCCTGATTTTGAGTTGCATCGTAGCTAATCTGGTGGGACGCTTAGAACGATCACCCATCTGGAGGACACATTTGTACCCGAGCTTTAAACTTTGAGGCTGATATCTTGAGACGTTGCTGCAGTTATTTCCGCACATCTGCTTTGTGAAGTGCACCGATCCTTCCTGCAGCTAAACAAACCCGCAACATGATGCTGCCAGTCCCATAAACTTTTCCAGAAAACATGGCAGTAGTCGTCGTGGTCAAACACTTCAATCATTTCAATTGTTGTTGTTTTAGTTAAGAAGCATTTTTGGCACGCGTGGCCTTTATTCGGCTGCAATCTGAAGGGCCTTTCAGCCCCGTTTGATACAAGACTAGTTTTCACAAGATTCGGCTGATTTCATTTGATTTGGCCATGATGGTACAAATGGAAGCAGCACAGTTTTAGTGCATGTAAATCTCAGTATTTAAAGAAAATAATTATAATAATAATAAAAGAAAACATTATTCTGGAATTTAGGAAATGGAAATAACTCTGGTAATTCTGACTTTCCTAAAACAAGTCAAGTTTTGTCTGTCCAAATCACAGAAGGTGAGGAGAAAAACGGTTTGTCTCTTTTTAATACAGTGTATGTAAACATCTGGTTTCAACTGTACCTGAACAACAACAATGAAGGAAAAAAAAAAATAGACAAATCAATCACATATCAACAAAACGCGCTCTTTTTTCAGTATATCTACATTGGATGCCTTAATACACCAGTGTTTAAACAATTCAGTCAGACTTGAAGGTGACATCTCTATGGAGACAGGGTGTTATCGTATTCCCCCAACCCCCCTCTCTGCACACCGCATCTCTTTCCTCATTTTGAAGCATAATTTTGTTACGGTAACCAGGGTCAAAGTTATGCAATAATGATAAATAGTGCCTCATATCACAAACTTGTAATATCACCTGCCCTGTGCAATGTTTCGATTCCAACATGTGTTCTTCAATTGCTACTTTTCAAAAGGGGAAATAATGATTTCTTTTTATTATGGATGTTATTTGGGAATAATAATAATAATAATAAAGCACAGACAACAATATGCAAGTAGGACCTCTGACATTGAACCATCTCTTCGCACTGAGCCTTATGTCACGGTGTCAAACTCACCGCAACACGCTCACCGGTTTGAAGCACACGTCATTACTTTGGCTGCAATAAGTCCTCCTCTGTCAGGGGGATAAACCTGAGTTACGAAGGCCTCTGGATGTTTCAGCTTCAGCACAGTGATTTCAAATTAGGCCACCAGGAATCAAATCCACAGTTTGGTAGTTTATGCCTTTGTTAATGATTTGAGACGTTCAATCAGATAAAAATAAAAATACATATGTATTTTAATTTCTGTTTAACATCTGATTTCTGATTTTTTTTTTTTCTCTCTCTTCTGGTTTTGAAAACTTAAGTAGTGAAGCCAATGCCTATGTTTCAAGTTTGCTAATATTACGTACAGTAATTGTTGTTTCTGTATTTATGTAAAGTGAGTGTTGTGTAAATATATTCAGATCTTTTCATTCTTACCGTGAGGACAAAAAAGAAAAAAAAAAATGTGATTACGCTTCAAAAGGGAGATTCTGCTAATGGGGAAAAAAAAGACATTTTTAACCCTGGTATTTTTAAAAAGAGTAATTTTAAAAACAGGTGTCCTTCTGTTTTCTCTTTTTTTCCTGTTACAGTTTTATTTTCTCCAAAAGTTGTTTGAGTAACAAGTCAGTGTTTTTTGCCTTTTGTTTTTTTTTCTTGTACCTTTTTTTTTTTTTTTTTTTTTTTAAATGGATGGAGCTGTGAAATTAAGATAAGTTCAAACATATACGTGTATATTGAAATGAATGGAGGCATGAAGGTTAATAAAGTTGCATTTTGTATGTAACACTACTGGGATGGAGCCCCTTTGCTATCTATGATTGGGATGGATGGAATGTGGTTTCGGTGACACATTCGAGTGACATCTGAGAACCGTGCTCACGCCGGCATTCGGAAACCTAATCTGGATTTGGGGGAAACCATTGGTGTGGAGCGCAGCTAGCGGGACGCTAGGGCTGCAGGGCCGCCCCCTGAGCCAGCTGACGGAGACAAGCAGCTTCAATCCACAGAAAATCCACAAAGACAGCAGCAAAATTTACATTAACAGTGTTGTGAAAAAGCGTTTTCCACTGTACAGATGATTTTTTTCCCAATTTCATTTAGTTCCCTTAGATGTTCCACATCTAAGGGATGTGAAACATCTTATACCAGACGTATACTGGTATAAGAAATAATCTGATACCAGTATCAGATTATTTCTTATACCAGAAATAAAAAGAAATAAAAACTGTTTTGAAATCATCGTTTTGATATTTAGGACAAGAAAAGTATTTAAAGAAAAAATCTGACCCTATGCGAAAACATAGCTGCCCTCCCCACAGTTCACAACATTCAGCATAATCTGAGTTGACTTTTAATTCCAGACTTGGACTAGGCCATGCCAGGACCTACTTTTTTTTTTTTTTTTAAAGAACTTGCTTGTTTACATGTTCCATCAACTTACTGTACATTGTCCTGAGACAGGAAACCAGTGCTTGAACATCATGTTTGAATGTCTGCATGATGTTCTTCTCCTGAATTGCTTTGTTCGCTTTACTTCAAATATAAGAAAACGCTCTGCACTGTACAGTGTGTTTGTCTCGTCTGTTCACAGAATATTTTTGCACTTAGCTTTTCACGGTACTTGTTAAATGTGCAGGTAGATCTGTTAAACAGGTCTATGTGGGCCCAGTCCAACTCATCTCCTATCAATGGTTCTGTAGCAGCAGGAAAAAAAATAACCCAGAGATGAAAATGTCAAATTTACGTGTAAATATTACTCCTACTAACAAAGAAGCACCTTCATTCAGGGCGTGTGAAGCTACTGGTCAGCTCAATTCAGCTTACCACTTCAAGTCTCATCTGAAAGAAGTTCCAATCACAGTTGGAAAAAATTAACAATTAAAAATGCTTGAAAACACACACACACAACAACAACAACAAAACAGCTAAATTAAATATATCAGTCACCATGCAAAATACTGCATTTTAAATTTCAGTATTGAAATTGGCAGAAGAAAATCGGTCCACTCCTCGTCACCATTTCCCATGACCCCAGGCCTGTGCCACCGCAGGCCTGAACAGAACCACTTAAAACCACAGCTGAGGTCTGGTGTACTCTTTAATGTTTTTAGCATTTGTCCAAAACACGTCACAGAGTCACATTCTTACTCTGATTTCATTCAAAGTTCCTCGTAAAACATCTCAAAATAAAAACACATCGCTTTGTTTCTATAATCCGGCAACCAACGGAGAGTGATATTTTAAGCTCTGGCATGCTCCGACACAGCATGAAGCCAATGCAGTTTCTAAGAACAGGTTACAGTTTAGAGGAAACACGCTGAACATCATGTACAGTGTTCCATCATAACTGGGTCTGGATGAATGTTTTTGTCAGCTGCTAAAGAATTCATGTGATTACAAGCTATGCCCGCTCCACTACAATTTTTGTTTTCTTTGTCTGTATAACGTCACCTTTGAGATTTATCACTTCGAATGTAAAGGGCAAAAAAAAAAAAAGTACATTAGGTAGTTCCTGCATGCAGGTAACCTCCTTTGCTCTCGGGAACTAGCTCAGGCACCTTCTGCGGTTTCAGCAGACTCTCTTGGCACCCTTTGTCGGCACCTTCTCTGTGACTCATGTCACAAACGTACACTCTGCGAACTGTAAATAAAGACAAGAACATCTTGTTTTGTTTGTCACAATTACACTAAAACTGGTTCTAATGATGGTGTACCTGCAGGACTAATTATCGAATTCCAGGTCAAACGAAAGAGACTTGATCAGACAAGAGGATGGTGTGTGCTTTCAGTTTTACTCAATGGAATTCCAGGTAAATCCCAGCAAGGTGTCACTCTGTTCACATGAGCATCACAAACTTAACCGCTGGACTCTTATCAGATCAGGTAAGCAAAACGGCTGATGAACAATCACAGCGTATTAAGATATGACTTGTTTTGCAGCCAAAGGCAACTTACAGCCGTTGACCCTGATATTAATTCCTCGATGCAGCAAGTGTTTAAAAGATCGGTGGTGCTATCTGTGTGACAGCGAGAGCCTCCCCCAAAAAGCGGATGCTGTAACAGGACAGTAATACCAGACAATTCATGACTGAAATGGAAGCAGCTGATAAGAAAAAAAAAATTCCACCGGGTCTGACATGACGATTCAATCAAAGCTTCAGATTCCCCGAAGATTCAAGAGACCCCTGATTTAATTCCTGTCTGACTTTTAGTGGAAACGACAAATTGTGTTTAGACTTGGCTAAGCTAAAATGAGGATGGATTTCCAAGTTATGACTGTGACAGTTACATTTTAGTAAAAGACTAATTATTGCTAAATCTGAAAGAAAATGTTCAATGAGCATCAATTAACCACAAACATAAAGTCCTCTGCCACCATGTGAAACCGAAATAAGGTCAAAGAAAATACTTCAATTGGCTGAGCTCCAGAAACTACTGACTCAAGGTGTGTCAGTGCAGTTTTCACACTCTGCATCTGCATTTTGGTTTAATTTTGCTTTGAAATGTCACAACGTGTCAGCTAAGGTTGAATTTTCCTAATTGTAAAATGTGCTGAGAAGCAAAATAATTATTAAGCATCTGCAAATATCTTACATATAAATAATGCTCGACTGCTTAATTTAGTTTCTGAGAAAAAACACACACAAAAAAATCTCCAAAATGTTTACTTTGTTCTTTTGACTCAATGTGAAGCTTCAAGAGTTTTTAAAAACTGTTTTTGACATTGGTGTCTTAAGTAAAAACCAACATTAGGAATTGCTTCTTTTATTGCAATGATCTACAATAAAAAATAATGTGAATAAAAAGAGACAAACACAAAGGACTAATTGATAGCATATTTTTTGTTTGTTTGTTTTTTAGTTTTTTGGCTTTTACGTATTTTCTTATTGTTTAATTTTGAACTGACTTTAAGGTGAGTGACATGTGCAGAGTTCCAGATATTGCTCCGGGTTCTCTGGTGATCTGGATGAAAAGCTGATGAGCACTTGGGGGGATTTCAGTCCTGAAACAGATCCACAGCTGTTCCACGTTTCCCTCATTTGCAGATAATGGCTCTGACTGAGATTAACTGAGGTCAGAACACCTTAGAAAAGGCTTTGCAACCTTGTCCCAGATTGATATTATGCTAATGACCTCGTTTCTCATCTGTTCTTAGATGTCTTTCAGGAATGCTGTCACGCCTTTTGAGATTTATTCATTTATTTTCTTTTTGCCAACTTCTTGCTGTCAGACTTGATTTCTCAATTCTACAGGTTAGGGAGCAGTCAGGATTGGGTGAGGCTAGTGAAATTAATCCAAGATAATGCAGCAACATAGCACTTAACCGTTCAGTTCTTTTGATGTGGAGTTTGCATCATTTTCTGCTCTAGCATACATAGATTGTCTCTGGGTACTTCAGCTTTCACTCAGCCAAAAAATATAGATGTTGGGTTAATTATATACTCTAAATTATCCTTAGAAGTGTGTGTGGGCATGAGTGGGTTGGTTGTCTTGTGTGTATGTGTGTTTATGTGCTGCGCTGTGATGAACTGGAATAGGAGGTACTATGCCTCTTTCCGATTGACCCATAGAGATTGGCAGCAGCCCCCCCATGACCCTGCTTGAATAAACAGCTATAAGCAATGGATAGATGGATGAAAACCAGCACATCATTTGAAAAATGCCCTTTGTATTTACTTAGCTTGTCTTTGTCTAATGTTAAAATGTGAACAAAAAGCAAAACAAATCTGTAACGGGGCTAATATTCCCCCCCTTGTAATCGTTGTGCTTTCTAAATGAAGCAATTGCCACCTAAAAATCAAACAATCTTTTTATTGCAGAAAAAGGAGAAAAAAAACATGAACAATGCTTTTAATTACAAGTATCATAAACCTGGCAGTTTCAAAGTCACGCTATAAGCAACGCCTTGACCGCATGACACAAACTACCTCCTACTTTCATCTTAAAAGTGCAGCTTTTCCTGATGCTCTTCTGCAGTTTGTATAGACAATCACGCTTTGACCTGCAGGCTCAAACAACATCCTTTTCCCTTCAGTTTTCGCATTTCATAAATAAACTTGCACGATGCTGACAGGATCTACACAGCCGACAGTTCAGATATAAAAATTGTCAAACGTTTATATGTGGTGTGCCATCAAAAAAAGGCTTGAAAAAGGACAAATTTGGTAAAATAGATTGAGCTGATACATCTGCAAATATCTCAAGTTGATGAGAAAGTAAGGCAACAATCAGATTTAATGTTCTTACAATAATAATAATAACAATAAAAACATTTAGGTCAGAACATCAAACTGTATCCTTTGAGAGTAAATGGAATAAATTGCAGTCTTTCTCTCTCTCCCAGTACTTTGCCGGTTTTAAGAAAAAGCTAAAAAAGACCGGACAGATACAGCGGAGAGGTTCCTTAGCTCTGGTGTCTCTTGGTGTGCAGGGCCAGGTGGTCAGAGCGGGAGAAACAGCGGCTGCACACGCCGCACTGGAAGGGCTTCACCCCGGTGTGCTTCCTGAAGTGCCGCGTCAGCTCATCGGAGCGAGCGAAGCGCCACTCGCATCCCTCCCAGGAGCACTGGTACGGCTTCTCACCTGCGCCGGGCAGAAATCACAAGGTAAAGCTAAAGCGGACACCCACAACTTTTTTGTTGTTGTTTTTTTTTTTTTCATGGATCTACACCCCACCCGTTCTCCCTCAAGAACATCATCTAAGAGTCTTGTTCAGAGCTCATATCTAATAAAAGAGTTTGGAAAAGGAGGGAAAAAAAATGGATAGCTTGCCTCATCTGCGGGCCATAAATCACTGCATGTTTCTACCCAACCCCTCCGCCCCACTTTCTCCTGCTTTACGAGAGCTGAAGAGTTAATGTGATTTGACAGCATCTAGATGTGAGCCAGACTGAACGAATATGCAAGCCAAGAAAACTTCTCTGCCTGGCAGCATCCTCACGTTCACCCCCAAAATAAGATGTACAACTTCAAGAAGTTTACCTGTGTGGGTTCGTAGATGAGCCTTTAGATGAGAGGACTTTGTATATACTTTCTTGCAACCTTAAGAAAAAGAAACAAAACATCTTTTAGGCATACGATCTGCCAGCTTTTATCTCGACTGCCAGTCGTAGGGACTTGTAGTCGCACCTGGAACATCGCAGTAGTGAATCCTCCGTCTTTCCAGATCAGGGTTGTTCCTCCGGTTGTATTTGGCTGGAGCCGACTGCGCCAACTCCGGAGACAGAGGTCCGACGCTTGGTGTGGTCTGAGCTGGTGAGGGCAGGCTGGAGTCCTGAACCGGTCCGCCGAGTGGACATTGAGTGAACGTAGGAACGTAAGTTTGGTCGTGGCTTTGAATCAAAGGATCGCTGGAAGTCTGTCTGGGGTCAGTGTGGGTCTGGATTGTTGTGTTACAGGCAACGCTGGCTTCGTAGGAGGGAGGAGGGGAGATGTTATGAAGGATCTCCTTGCCCGTGTCTGGACTCGGGGGCTGAGAATTTGGCGGAGACGGCGGCAGATAGGTTGATCTAAACTGATGGCCAGAGTGCTGGTTGAATGGAAAACATTCAGTCTGTGAAGAGTTTGGTAGCTGTCCCACGTGGGGATTCCCGACTGGAAGACTTAGTGGGGTGATAGGGAAAGAGTTCTGCTCTAAATCAGTGTTCAGCATCTGAAACTGGGGGATTTCTTGGAATTCTGCCACTTCCTGTTTGATGAAAAAGCTACCACCAGGAGTGTCAGCTGCTTTAAACATCCCTGAGTACTCTGGGAGGGTCGTTGGTGCTCCGTTGCCCTGGCAGGTGGAGTGCATCAGGGACTGTGGTGGCTCCGCTTTGATTTGCCTCACAGTCTGGCAGAGGCTGGGTTGCAAGTAGGAGGCATCGGGAAGGAGCAGGCTCATGTTGACGCTGTAAGAAGTGCCGAAGTCTTCAGGGAAAAGTGACTCCAGCATGGGAGCATTATCCTTGTCAAACATTTTTGAATTCACTACATCATGAAGTAGGTAGGTGTCCATCTCAGTTTTACACTGGCAGAAAGAACAAAAGGGAAATGACTTGGTAAATAACACAAAAACTGCACAGTTACCTTCACAACTCAAATGACTGGCTTACGCTGTTTAGGTGAAAATTTTAAGCTGAACCAAAAATTGTGACCCAGTTTTTTCAAAGAAAGACTGAATCAGGCAGCCATTTAGAAATATACGACTTATTCTCACTTAACTTGACTTTCCACAGGATCAAATAGAAAATAGTAAGCTTGTGAAATGATGTTGTGTGACAGTGTTCACAAAGTGTTAAAGACTTTGATTCACAGCAGATTTGATCTATTAAGTAGTTAGCGCTGGTTCCTGCTGGTCATGGTTGACATTCACACTTTCACCAAAGAACTGGTCATTAAATCAATATTGATAGGTAATATTTTGCCGATCTGTCTTGACCTGCTCTGACCATTTCCCAATGTTGCAACTTAACCGCAACTAGCTCACGCCAACCACAACACTCTTCGGTGGAGAAGTTTTTATTGTGGGAAGAAGATTCAGTTAGTCATTTTATCTGGGATGTGTTATACTGAAGCCAGAGGGGACACAGCGTCCAGAGGGGACACAGCGTCCAGAGGGGACACAGGGTCCACAGGGGAGACAGCGTCCAGAGGGGACACAGCGTCCAGAGGGGACACAGCGTCCAGCTTTTCATTACAGGAAGCTAGACAGTGGCAGGTGCTGGTCATTTCACTCCTTTCCCATTTTACACGTTTGCAGTGTTGGTTGTTTCCTACCAGACTTTTTTGGGTAAGAAAAGGAATTGTCTGCCACATGACTTCAACTCGAAATGTCTTGCGGACATTTTGCCGAACTGGCGAACAGAAACATTGAGCCAAAGCCCGAGTCAGCAGATACCAGAACTGGTAAACAAAGTTGAACTGTTTTGTCTTTTTCAGTTTAACGAAAATCTAAAAAATAATGACAGATTAAAATAAAAATAAAATAACAAATGTTTTGAATGATGCTCAGGATAGTTCACTAACACAAACTGGAATCAGGGTGAAAAAAAATATACTGGCAGGTCAAACCTGGCAATAGGCTGAGTCTGATCAGGGCACCTCTAGTATGAAATTTGGTATTCAAATTCTTTTTCTTTTTTGTTTTGGTATCAAATAGCTCATGTATTAGATAAAACGAAACTCATGACTTTATTTCTTTGTATCATCATAATGTTTTAGGCAGATTTAAACCAAAATTACAAATAATTTTTACGCTAGCTCCATTTATGTCACTTATTTAGCCATCCAGGTCTTTTGTAACTTTGGTCGGTTCTTTGATTGAAAAGGCAACCCACACATTTCACACAGGAAGAAGTAAGTGGCATATCGCTTCCTACCTTCATTTCTTGTGTGAATCTCATTGAATACAAATGTAACTTCAGCTTAAAGGTTGGTTGAATTGAATTTGCATCGACCACCAAGCGGTTTTTGAGATGGTAGATGTCAAGTTTGGTCTTTGCCCCTCTTACCTTCGGCCTTATGGACCAACTGAACAGTATTTATGCTAAATTGAGATGGAAAGAGAGTTCTGTACCTCAGATAAGATAGCAACTGTCGTTAACCTCTTCACAGAAGCCCATTTCCACAAACTCTCAATTATCCAATAAGTGAGAAAAATTGGTCACTTCAACCCATCCATTTGTTTGGATTGGCAGTTTCAGTTTCAAGAGTGAAGAAATTGAATCAAGCTCCTAATGTGACTTAAGTCTCAAAATTGGTATTAAGAGTTTTTGTTGTTGTTGTTTTAATTGCTTCTGCATTGCTGAGGCCGATGTTTTGTTTTGTTTCCTGCCTTGGACTTTGCATCACTGGTTGCACCACATGCCATTCTGGACTGTAGTTCCACTTTGGGGATGCATGTGTACCAAAACAACAGAAAATCAGCCGAACCTACAGCTCCGACTTACAAGCAGCTCTGTGCTTCAGGCTTCAGGCTGCATGTAAGCTCTTTCCAAATGCACAGCTGAAATTAGAACATCCAGCTGCTCCACAGGACTGTGCAGCACAAGTTTCAGGGACGGGTGCACATCCCATTCATCCCCAACACGCCATAGTGAATGTCAGCATCAGCGATCTTAAAATTGCCTTTATTCACCATTCTTCTCACAGCAGCCGTCAATGCTGGGATCAGACCCTTGATTGAAATGAAAACAAATCTGTTCCCAATCTGCAGGCAGCAGAAAATTAAATGGTAATAAAGATGAGATAATAATTACAGTGAGACAGTGATGGTGAGAGGCAATGCAAGTGCAACCCCCCCCCCCCCCCCAAAAAAAAAAAAAATAAATAAAAATAAAAATAAAACAACCAATATGTATATATATATAAAACCAGCCCTACCAGATTATAATCTGGGAAAGATGAAATTCCCAGGATGGCGTTGCACAGCACTTCTCCATGATCCTCACCTCTCAGACCGTCGGATGATGTCAGCGGCGCCGCTGGCTGGTTTTTGTGGAGAAACTGCGCGTCCTGCCCCGGAGCAATCCAACGCGAATTCGTCACAGCTGCGGCCATTAAAAGCGTAGATAGCCTTATACTCTCGTTCGATATTGTAAAAAAAATAATAATAATAATAACAAAAATTAATAATAAAATAAAGTAAAAATGCCCGAATTAATCTGAATTGTCGTTGCTGTCGAAAACAATCCCCGGCGACCCAGCTGTCAAACGCTCATCCTCCTCTGGTTTCTGCTCTGGCTTGTCAAATTACGCAACGGCGTAATATCAGCGCGTCTGCAGGGCGGCGCCGAGCGGCGTGCAAAACAAACAGGACAACGAGGCGGTACTTAACACACCGAGAGTGATGAACGCTGCGGATTGGTGATTAAGAGGAGAAATAAACTTGAGGTTGGGATTGTATTTTGTTTTTTAGTTTGCGATGAGTCTATCCGACTCAGGGTTGTTTGTTTGTCATCAATACCAAGAAATAAGGCGAACAAAAAGTGATTTGGTTCTATTATATGTTGCATGACTTTGTGTTCTTGTGTTTATGATGTAAAGCACTTTGAAATGCCTTGCTGAAATGTGCTATACAAATAAAATTTGATTGATTAAAGATATATATATTTTTATGATTCAATTCCCACAGTAAATGTGGTTTTCTAAATTTAGCCCCTCGTTTAAATCGGAAAGTTTAGACCTTAAATATCCACACAAACTTTTCAGTTTGAAAAAAGGCTGTTTGTTTCCTTTCCTCTGACAATGTATTTTTGTTTCTCACCAATATTATTAAGAATTCAAATAATTAGACAGACAGACAGACAGACAGACAGACAGACAGACAGATAGATAGATAGATAGATAGATAGATAGATAGATAGATAGATAGATAGATAGATAGATAGATAGATAGATAGATAGATAGATAGATAGATAGATAGATAGATAGAAAAGTTTGGGTGTACACATTTATTTAGCTCCTTTTAGCTCCTTAGCTCTTTGAAATAGAAAAATAAATAAAAACACATATTGTGGCGGAGAAGTGACACTTCACATGAACATCTTCCGCAACATGAAGCATGACAGTGGCAGCATCATGCTGTGGGAATGCTTTTCTGCTGTATAAATGAAAAGATGATCAAAGTTGACAGGAAGAGGATGGAATTAAATGTGGAGCAACCTTGAAAACAAGAAACTGGTTATGAGTGCAAAAAAAAAAAAAATTGAGAGTGAGGCAGAGGTCCTCCATCCAGAAGGACAACAGACATCCATACAGCCATAGGTGCAATGCGAGCATTTCGGTCACAGCATATTCATGGCCTAGTCAAAGTGCAGATCTAAATACACTTGAGAATCGGAGACGAGATTAGAAAACTGCCTGGTTTCATACAAGAGAACCTCACAAATTTTATGGCACTGAAGAACTTTTTAAAAATCATTAACACACCAAAATGTTAAATTGTTAAAGGAACTTAAAGGACTAGAGATATTAATTTACAATGATATTTGCAGCTTTTTATACACACATATAGACATATGCATAATTCATAAATAAATAAATTCTTTTTCAGTAGGAGCCGAGAGTTTCACTCTTTGCTTCTTCATGTACTTTCTATTGGTTTCGTCTTGTCCACATTACCTACAATTAGAACAGTAGAACAACACTCTTATAGAGGTTAAATCGTGTTTATCTACACTTTTCTTTTCTTTTTGGCTCATCTTCAGGTTTTCTTTTTGATAATCCAGCAAGCCTCGGATCCCTTGTCTGGCATGCTAAAAACGCCACAGCGGTGCAGCTGTCTGTCATGGCTGCATACTTGATGCCAGCATTCCTGAGCCTGCAGCGAAGCTCTCATGCAAATACACGGAGTTTCATTCTCACATTGATCCGATCTGATATGCGTCTGCAGTTGTTGGAAGTTTGTCTTTAAATGAGTCCCGCTGAACAGCACATGATGCACTCAGCTTTTACTGACTGGTGTGAAGAAATTCTCCTCATGGAGTTTTCTGTTTCTCAGTAAAGAGCCTCTGTTCCTACTTGGATCCCACTGACACGGGTTTTGAAACTTTGAAACATCATAACAAAACAGAATTGACTTGCGGTTCTTAATGTTTTTTTTTCAAAAACAAAAGTGCACCGTGTGTCAGCAGATGTTAGTGTAACAATCTGGAACGGTGTGTCCCAGTGAGGGAAGAATGAGACTGAGCCAGATTTCATTGATTGGGTTTACATGAAAACCCGGTGTGTGTGTAAGATCTTTTTCATGAGACATTTATACTGCTGCTCTTAACCACATGCGCCTCCGGGCAGTTCTTGTCCTCTTATTAAATCACTGTAACTGCACCCACTGTGGGCTTGAATGAACATGTTTCAGATATCAGTATCGCTGCAGTTATTTGAGGTCAATTGTACAAACAGGCAGTGGGAGAATAAAAATCAGAATTAAACTAAGTGCTCAGTTTTATCCGTGAACTGCTTGGGGATGAGTCGATTCATGATCTCTTTTTAAATGTTCGATGTTGCCTTTCAAATCAACAAGTTTCTTTTTTTTTTTTTTTTTTTCCCCAACTAATCAGATCTGGTACTTTTATGACTTTAAAATCTATTTCATTTTCAAGTTTGAAGCAACAGTTTTTGATAATCCAGCAAGCCTGGATTGTTGTTTTGTTGTATTTCCTTCTAATTCATGCAAAGAACTTTTAATTGCCTTGTTGTTGAAAATGTGCTTTATAAATGAAGTCGCCTCACCTTAGCCACGTCTGTGACACAGCACAAGAAAAGAGTTTTTCCTGGAATATGCATCCAGAACAAGCTGCAAATTCCCAGTAGCCAAACAGTCGTTTTTACTTATTTTCACTCCTCCCTGCTGTAAACAAGCATTTAAGAAGCGTCTAAAGTGTCGCTCAAATAATAACACTTATTTGTAAGCACTGACAAACAGGCAGAAAATGTTAAAATGCCAAAGGTTGTAGTAAAACAACATTTATGAAACACTGAAACGGACGAGGACAAAATAATATCGGAACTAAGTGCACCTTTTTCTATGTTGTAATTATGGTTCCAGACATTTTGACATCACCAACAACACAAGTGACATTTTTTTAAAGTAATCATTTAAAAGGTTCTTTGCACCTGGCAGCCTTACAGTCTGTTACAGTTTTCACTTCTACTTTAACCCAGATGCTGAGTTTATGCTAAGAAACATCACAAACTATAATTTGACCAGATATTTTAGAAAAAAAAGTATCTGACATTCATCTTCCACAGGACGAAACGATAAGATGGTAAAATGATTTGTGTGTATTTATGTTATTGTCAGTGGATGGTGTTAGTGTCTTTAGTTCACCTAAGACAGTCAAGCCTTTTGTATGCTGCATGACTAGCACAGGCTATTACACTCATACTCAACATATTGTCATACTTTACCCAAATAATTGGTCAATAGGCATTATTTTGTATGATGTCACATGGAGATGACCAGAGATCAGCAGGCAGAGAAGTGAAAATCTCGATCTTGTCCCAGTCAGTAAATGCACCATGAGATACCAAGTTGCTATCTAAAACACTCTTTGATATGAAAGTTATGTTTGTTCAGGCTCAAAGCTAGCTAGCTAGATTTGATGAAGCTGGAAAGGTGGAAGAGGAACCTGCTCTACGACTGTTTGGCTACTGGGAATTTGCAGCTTGTTCTGGATGCATATTCCAGGAAAAACTCTTTTCTTGTGCTGTGTCACAGACGTGGCTAAGGTGAGGCGACTTCATTTATAAAGCACATTTTCAACAACAAGGCAATTAAAAGTTCTTTGCATGAATTAGAAGGAAATACAACAAAACAACAAACCAAAGTAAACAGCAAAAGAAGAAAAATGAAAACAAAAAAGTGTAACCCCATGTTTGAGAATAAGTCTGTGATATATACATTAGTAGGGGTTTCTCTGGATTCTTGTTCTGATAATATTGTAGGTAAGGAGTAGTTTTTCTAGATAGGCCAATAAGAGTTTTTCTGGATTCTAAGTTTGTTCTACTTTCTGAAAATATAAACTAGATGCTTCTGTCATAAGTATATGTAGTCCATAATTTATGAGCTAGAAGGAGTTTCTCTGGTCAGACTAAAATGATGAGCTGTTTAAAAAAAAATGTTATGTAATGTAGTTCTTGCTCAGTGCAGAATCTCCTGGCCTGAAGTTGTTCTTGTCCTGTCAGCCTCAGGCAAAAATAATATATTTCCCTGTTCTTGAAATTGGGATCATCATGTCAAAGCTTTACAAAAACTGGTCATCAGAAATCTCTGATTGGTGCGTCTACATGTTGAACATCAAATGAGTTTCTCAAAATTAATTGTTCGTCCATTAATTCCCTATTAGATATATATACAGTATATATATATATTTACTTGTTCTTTTTAAAATAAATAACTTACTTTAATTTAAAGTAAAAAGTTAAAATTAAAATAATTTTAACTGAAATTTATCTTATGGGTTATTCTTTTCAGCTCACTCTTGAAAAGCTTCATTTTACTGCATTTTCAGTTAATTGTCTGCTTTGTGTTGTTTCACTCTTTAAAATCTCTTTGTTTTTATCATTTCTTTCACATGCATACGTTGCATCTGCATGCCAGCTTATTGCGTCCACTGAAATTCCTCACCAAAAGGCTGCTTCGTAAAACAACATAAATATTTCTACCGAGTGTTTGGCCTTCACCCACAGACTCCTGCTTGGTTCAAGCTGAAGTGTTAGATCGCAGTAAAAAGCAGCACTCTGTTCAGGCTGAAGCTTCTCACATGTCTTATCTGCTGCTATCTCCTTTTATCTTGCTTTTTTCCTCACAATTGGCAACATTCACAAGTTTCTCTCCTTCGGTTTCTACTTGGCAACGCCTCGGACGGTTTTATTGTGACTCTGAAGCTCACAGGCTGTTGACGCAGGCGTTTCTAAGAAATGCAGGCGTTAACACATTGCTTTCACAATGTGTACGGCCTTTGAATATTAGCAGTTTATCTTTTTGTTTGTTCCTTGAAATAAAATGAACACACTGTTCGGGTTGCCTTAGTCGAACTGTAGAGTGCCAATAATCCCTTGAATGGCTCACTCTAATTCAATTTATTAGCTTTCTATGCTGATGCATTTTTGCTGTTTGGTGCCAACTTTCGTCATCGAACTTGTATGTTCCGCTGATGTTTGCTTAAAAATTCAGATGTGTGAGTGCTCTACATTGTGAAGCTGAGTCTCCTTAAACAAAATGTTTACACTGTATGTTCATAT